GTCCCACTTATTTCCTACTTACGTAACACCCTTCCACCCTTACTTCCACCACTAGCCTCCCCCCCCCCCCCCCCCCCCCCCCCTCCAATTTATTATTGTAATAAGTGCACAAACTTACTTGTATATATGCGTAGGTGAAAGAAATTCCATTTTATATATGTCCTCAGTTTTTACTTTGAACAAAATGTAAAATTTATATCTTTTTTACAGTAGATGCAGTGGGTTTTCTAAACTTTTTAAAAGTATATTTGAAACAAAATACTAAAGTAGTTTACTTCGATTTTATCTTGATGCAAACCAAGTTTCTATAAAAATATACAGTATAACTCTATTGTATTCTTTATTCTTTATCTCTCATATAAAAGATATGTGATTTTAAACTCGTATTTGTATCAAATATACAAAACCGGTAATTGTATGATAATTGTCAAACAGATAATTATATTTTGACAATTACTAATTTCATTATATTCTCTCACAATATCCTAATTCAGAAATTTATAATATCCAATCTAAACTATACAAAAAGGTATATTAGATATTAGATATTAGATATTAGATATTATCTCGAATCTTTATCTTAATTAAACCAAATAACGAATAGTTGCATAAATAAACAAAAAACCTAACGTGATCGTGTGGTAGAGAAGTTTACTTGTCTAACCTTGATAACCTTGCTCACTCGTTTGACCGTAAGAGAAAGAAACGGCTACGATCTCGCGTTACGCAAATCATGACCGTTGAAAAATATAAAGAAAGAAGCCGCGTCCAAAATCTTTGTGTCCCACCTTTGTCCCCTTGCCTATACCTTGCCTCCTCATGCTCCCCGACAACGTCATAATTCCCATCTCTTTCTCTTTAACCCTAACTCCAAAGCAACTTCGTTATATAAACCTCTCTCTCTCTCCCTCACCATTTCACAAACTCCATCGCATTTCAAGGATCTTATCACATTCCCAAGAAGAGCAACAATAACAAGAGAAGAAGAAGAAGACTCAAGAGTTAAAGAAGACTGAGTGATTCTTTGTTGAAACAACAAGTATAGTAAGAGAATATGGCGTATGAAGAAAGCACCAGTGGACTTAACCTTAAGGACACCGAGCTTCGTTTGGGATTACCCGGAACAGAAGGAGAACAACAACAACTAGAAGTTTCTTGCCTCAGAAGCAACAAGCGGAAGACTAACGACTCAAAAGAAGAATCTTGTCCTCCTCCTTCCAAGTAAGTTGAGATCTGAAGTCATATTTTTCTAATCCAAACTTCTTGATATCGCTCGGTGTACTAATGATGAATCTTGTTTTGTAAACTTTCAGAACACAGATCGTTGGTTGGCCTCCAGTGAGATCTAACCGTAAGAACAACAAAAACGTTAGTTATGTGAAAGTAAGTGTGGACGGAACTCCATATCTTCGCAAGATAGATCTCAAGATGTACCAAAACTATCCAGAGCTTCTCAAAGCACTCGAGAACATGTTCAAGTTCACAGTAGGTGAATATTCCGAGAGAGAAGGCTACAAAAAGGGTTCTGGATTTGTACCTACTTATGAAGACAAAGATGGAGATTGGATGTTGGTCGGTGATGTTCCATGGGACATGTTCTCTTCATCTTGTCAAAAACTCAGAATCATGAAAGGATCTGAAGCTACTAATGCCTTATGATCCCTGCCCGTAATGCCTTTCAAAGTTTCATACTTTATTCTAGACATAAAATAGTTTGATGTAAAGAAAGAGAGAGTTTATGTACAATAGGGATACAAATACGTTATATAGATGTAAAACTATTAAGCCTGTTCATTTTGTAAGATCAGTCTTGATTATACAAGTTTATTATATGTATCCTCAAGATAAACCAAACATTATATAGCTTGTGTTGTGTCTCTATAGTGGGATGGCTTCTCATGGTTAATGGTTAATATAAAACAAACATAACCAATAAAGTTTGAGACTTTGAGACATATAGAAAGATACAAAAACTTTGGATTAAGAAATGGGCAATTTTTAATGGATATCACCATCAAAAGTTTTGAGCTTTTATTTGTTTTCTTTAATATTAGATGGCGAGAATCTTTACTTACCCAATCACTTGCTCCACCAAATTGGGATTTGACTTGAGCTTCTCTTCTCATCGTCATCTTCGTCGCCTTACTTTTCGACCTACGTTCATCACTCTATCACCTACTCAATCGCCGTAAGCTCTTCTTCTTCCCTCTCAATCTCTGTGTTTTTGTTTGTGTTGGCATGGTTTAAGAATCGTTGATGGTGTTGCGTTGATGGGTATATCTATTTGATAGTTTATAATCCGAAAGTTCACTCCTTTGATCTGTTTTTCATATGCTCTGTTCTAATGGATTTGTAGCAATATCATATCTATTACGAGACTGGATTGGTTTGAAATTATGGATGATTGATCTGGTTACTAGTCTCGTTTTGCAATTATTTAGAGAGAGATATACTTGTTTCAGTTGCAGAGCTTTGATTCGAAGATTTGTAGCTATGGATTCTTCTGGAACTGATTCGGCTAAAGAATTGCATGTTGGTTTGGACCCAACTACTGAGGAAGAGTATGCCACACAGTCAAAGCTACTTCAAGAGTTCATAAATATTCCCAGCATTGACAAAGCTTGGATTTTTAACTCCGATTCTGGTAAGTTGGGACATTGGAATCAAGAATTTCAAGTGTTTTGTTGTTGAGAATCATCTGACCAGATGAAATGATGATTCACTTAATTGTAATGGGACAAGTTTGAAGAATTTGAAAACTTTTTACTGCAGGTACTCAGGCGATGTTTGCCTTGAGTCAAGCAAACCTTTTGGCTAATAAAAGGAAGAAGTTTATGTTATCGAGTCATATCTCAAAAGAAAGTAACTCTGTTAACTTTCACTGGGCGCCATTTCCCGTCGAGATGACTGGTGCATCAGCTTTTATCCCTTCTCCATCTGGTCTAAAGCTTCTTGTAATTCGCAACCCTGAAAAAGAGTCTCCTACAAAGTTTGAGATATGGAATTCGTCTCAGCTGGAGAAGGAGTTCCATATTCCACAGAAAGTTCATGGCTCTGTATACGTTGATGGATGGTACGGCACTATTTTTGGCTGATTATAATGAAAAGTTCTTGTAGAAGTATAAAAATGAGCAAGGCTTATATATGATGTAGGTTTGAAGGGATATCTTGGAATTCAGATGAGACTCATGTTGCATATGTCGCCGAGGAACCATCTCGTCCAAAGCCTACATTCGATCATTTAGGTTATTACAAGAAAGAGAACTCTTTGGAGAAGGATATTGGAAGCTGGAAAGGTGAAGGGGATTGGGAAGAGGAATGGGGAGAAGCGTATGCCGGAAAAAGGCAGCCTGCGCTGTTTGTTATTGATGTTGACAGGTATTCAACAATCTGTCCATAAGAAAATAACATTTACTCTTACTTTTTCTGATGGTTGGTTTTGCTGTTAACAGTGGAGAGGTCGAGCCAATCAAAGGAATTCCAAGATCAATAAGTGTTGGACAGGTTGTTTGGAGTCCAATCAGTAACGGATCAGCTCAATATTTGGTTTTTGCCGGGTGGTTAGGAGATAAAAGAAAGTTTGGTATTAAGTACTGCTACAACAGACCTTGTGCCATATACGCAATAAAGTTCATATCGAATGAACCAAAGTGAGTTTGTTACTTCTCTAACGACTAAAAGACATCTTAATCATCCCTAATGACCGATAACTACTATAAAGTTTGTGTTTACTTGCGTTTCAGAGATGATGCAAACGAATTCCCTGTACATAACTTGACTAAGAGCATAAGCAGCGGTTTTTGTCCTCGGTTCAGGTTTATATCTTATCATTTTTTTTCCTTTCTTTAAGGTATATATTTGGTAAGAGTAATTTTTTTCCTTGTTACTCTTTTTATAACTGAGCGTTCTTACACAACTTCTGTTAAAATTTTCCCTTATATATAGCGGTGTTGTTTTGCAATGTTCGATCAAGTTATGAGTTAATGACCTGTCACAAACTTACTCTAGTCACCATACATTTTTTCCTTCCCTCACAGCAAAGATGGGAAATTTCTTGTGTTTGTATCTGCAAAGAGCGCTGTTGACTCTGGGGCGCATTGGGGAACCGAGTCACTTCACAGGATTGACTGGCCAAGTGATGGGAAACTTCTTGAGTCAACAAATATCATTGACGTGGTGAGATAATGAGGACCTTTTCCTCTCTCTTTATACGCTAATAGAGCTACATAAATTTTTGGGTTGACCACCTGTTTTTTGTTAGATATATAGCAATCAAATTAATATATCTGCTATATGTTATTTGATGATATTCAAATATATCTTATACTGCAGATTCAAGTTGTGAACTGTCCTGAAGATGGCTGTTTCCCTGGGCTCTATGTTACTGGCCTTCTGAGTGATCCATGGCTGTCAGATGGACATAGCCTTATGTTGTCTACCTACTGGCGCAGTTGTCGAGTTATACTCAGCGTAAATTTGCTAAGGTGACTGATTAAGTAATATGGAAAGTTTAAGAAATTCCTCCTGCTGCTGTGCTTACTGATGAATATATCTTGAGAATATTACAGCGGTGAAGTGTCACGTGCTAGCCCCATTGATTCAGATTATTCATGGAGCGTTCTTGCACTAGATGGTGATAATATAGTTGCTGGTAAAATATTTTGAGCAAGTTCTTAATCTCAGTTACTAGCTGCCAATATTATATCTTGATGACACACCAGACTTGAAACAACATCATGTTTTCTTTTTCTGACTAGTGTCTAGCAGTCCAGTGAGTGTTCCTGAAATTAAATATGGAAAGAAAGCTCTCGATTCAGCTGGGCAGCCTTCATGGCAGTGGTCAAATATCCAAAGCCCGATCAGATGCTCTGAGAAGGTAAAAGCATATATTTCTAGTCCTTTTTAATTAAAATAATGTTAAGCCTTTTCCTCATTAATCTTTTGTTTTAATCGTTGCAGGTTATGTCAGCACTTTCATCCCTTCAGTTTGAAATTCTAAAAGTACCAATTACTGATGTTTCTGAAGGTCTTACAGAAGGTAACTTACACCAATTTTTGATTTTGACAAAATCTATTTGTTTCCTAGACTGTGGCCCTGAATACTCTGTTATTGTGTATGGCAGGGGCCAAAAAACCTACTGAAGCTATATATGTATCGTCCTCCAAGCCTAAGGAGAATGGGAAATGTGATCCCTTAATTACTGTTCTTCATGGAGGTCCTCATTCTGTTTCCCCTTGCAGTTTCTCCAGGAATTCGGCCTATCTCTCCTCAATTGGATACAGTCAGCTGATTGTAAATTACAGGTTTACTAACGATCGTACAGCTCCGAATTCTACTAGTTCATCAACCTTTTAGAGATCCTAACTTGGTATGGTGACTCATTTGAATTGAAGGGGTTCGTTGGGATATGGGGAAGATGCTTTGCAGTCTCTACCTGGGAAAGTTGGATCACAGGTATTTACTCTATGCGCATGTAATGTCACTTTTCTTCTTTCTGACCTGCATTTTGCTTAATTGATAAGCTTCTCTGATACAGGACGTGAAAGATGTTCTCACGGCTGTAGATTATGCCATCAAAATGGGACTCGCAGACCCATCTAAAATAACTGTGCTAGGTGGTTCTCATGGTGGGTTTTTGACCACTCACTTGATTGGCCAGGTACTGCATTTGTTTTACCTCTGAATTTATGGCACTGGATTAGTAATTATCATCCTTATACCAAACTTTTTCTATAGGCGCCGAGTAAGTTTGTGGCAGCAGCTGCAAGGAATCCTGTATGCAACATAGCATCAATGATTGGGATTACAGATATACCTGATTGGTGTTTCTTTGAAGCATATGGGGACCAGACTCACTATACAGAAGCCCCCTCAGCCGAAGATCTTTCTCTGTTTCATAAAATGTCTCCTATATCACACATCTCAAAGGTCAAACCAACCTTGTATATCCGTTTCTTCAGGACTCTTGAAAACATTTAATGATTCTTCTTGTGCGTTCACTTCTGCAGGTGAAAACACCTACTTTGTTTCTTTTGGGAGCTCAGGATCTCCGTGTTCCCATATCAAACGGATTTCAAGTAAGATCCTTTGTAGATTGAAAGAATCTGCAACTTGTTCAAGTTTGCAGACTCAAACTCGTTGGTAAGGTGTTTAATCTGTTGTCTTGATTTGTATAGTACGTGAGGGCATTGAAGGAGAAAGGAGTTGAGGTTAAAGTTCTAGTCTTTCCCAATGACAATCATCCCCTAGACAGGTAAATAACCCAAAGCCTGCCATTTTTGTTGTTCATCTCTTTGTGAAAGTTTTGAATGTTGAAACATGTGTTTGCGTCTTGTGATTGTTTTATGCAGACCACAGACGGATTATGAAAGCTTTCTCAACATTGCTGTCTGGTTCAACAAGTACTCCAAGCATTAAACACCTGATAATTTTCGATTACCGAGTTTGTATTTCTTACAAAACCTGAATGAAAAGAAACGAACGGTTTAAAGAATAAAGACTGCGACTTTCTGATACTTCAGGTCGTGTCATAAACGTTTCGGAAACAAAGTGGTTTAAAAGATTCTTTTGTTGTGCAATGAAACACATAGAGACAAGAAAAATGAACGGCTAAAAACTAAGGCTTTGACTGGTTTACACACAATGCATGAGTTTGCAGAAACTGAAGGTTGCGGTTAGTAATTTAATGGAACGAGGAATACGAGATACACTTTGTTCCAAGTTGTTGAGTTTTCAGATTGATTCTTCGTTCGAAACGATATTTTTGGGGATGTGCAACTGAAAATGAACTCCTGATTACGAACTATAATCATCTGTTTATGTAATTATCAATACATATATTTCACATATACTATATTTTAGATATATACATATTACGTGTGTTTGATTTTGTAATCAAGTTGACATGAATATGAGAGTGCAAATATATTTTGTTATCTTTTAATAGTAGCATATACCATTAAAGTATAGATCATGGTTAAGATTTTGTTATTTCGTATAGTTTTAGGAAAAAAAAATGAGGGTTCACTATGAAATGTTCCAAAAAAGAAAATCTGATTATTCAATTTTAAAAACACCTTAAATGTGACACATAACGGTTTTAAGATTTGATATTAAACGAACAAAACTACGCGGAAAAACGAATCAAGCTTTTCAAATATCTTACCAGTTTTACGCGGTAGAAATATTATATGTCTGAAATTTTAAATTATATTTTAAATTTTACAGGAAAACCCAATTAAGTCCTTTTAGTAACAACTTAACCATTTTACGTGGGAACAAACGGTATATGTTTAAAATTTATATATACAATTTTACGCGGGAACTCAATCAATCTTTATACTAAAGGCTTAACTATTTTACGAAAAATACTATATTTAAAATATGATATTATATATAGAATTTACGTAGGGAAGTAAATTAAGTCCTTTAATTGACATTTAAAGCATTTTACGTGGAAAACAATTATACGGTTTTGAAATTTACTATTGTATATTCAATTTTACGCGGGAAAGCTAACCAAACCCTTTTCGTAAAAATTTTAATACGTAGAACATAACTATACATTTAAAATTTGATATTATATATACAATTTACGCGGAACCCAATCAAGCATTCGTTATATCTTCGACTATTTTATGTTTGTCATTTTGGTTGATCTTTTGCTAAAGAGAGGTGAAGGTCAAGCTCAAGTGACATTAAGTGAATCCACTAATAGTCATAAATATTACAAAAACTGAACCTTAGAAAGCAAAGCTAAAGTCATCTTAAGCTATAGCTACATAAATTAAAAAGCTAAAGATGCAACTTTTAAGATGACGTCAATTGTGCCATGAGAGCACAATCTCCTCAAACTCTACAATTAGCTCCGACCAATGAGTCTCCTCCTCCTCCTCTTCACCGTCAGCCACCTTCACCTCCGCCACGACCAACCCTTCCGCCAGCTCCAACACCTCAACCACCACAGCCGTCCTTCCTTTTCCCAATCCCACCACCTTAGCCTCATCCTTCTTCTCAACTCTAAACCCTAACTTTTCCCCTATCATCTCTGCCTTCTCCACCACTCCATCCGCTGACACCTTCGCAGTAAACCTCTTCTCTTTCCTCATCCTCCCCACGAGCAAACCCGAGAGATCCAACCCCGAAGACAACGAGATCAAATCAAAAGCCGTAACGACATTGTTCGTCTTGGCCTCTTTCTCAAGAAACCTATCCAACTCAACCACATCAGACCGAACCTCAAGAGACTTTTGAAACCAAGCTGTTTCAATCACATCATCAACACTCATCCTCGTCTCTGGATTCGGATCAAGCAACTTAAAGATAATAGATCGAGCTTGTTTCGAGATCCAGCTCGGGAAACGGTACTCTCTCTTACGAATCTTCCGGTACATCGCAACAATGTTAGCATCATCAAAAGGAACATAACCAGCAAGAAGAACAAAGAGAAACACACCACACGACCAAGCATCAGCTTTAGCACCGTCGTAACCTCTCTGAGCAATCACTTCCGGTGCAGTATAAGCCGGAGTCCCACAAGCTGTGTGAAGCAACCCGTTACAGCTACGGTGCTCCGGCAAAGCGGATAAACCAAAGTCGGAGACCTTGAGGTTCCCTTCCTTATCCAAGAGCAGATTCTGCGGCTTCACGTCGCGATGAACGATCCCGTCGCGGTGGCAGAAGCTAAGCGCGGAGGCGAGCTGTTGGAAGTAACGACGAGCCGCCGATTCGTTAAGCCGACCGTATCGGACGAGCTTTTCGAAGAGCTCTCCTCCGGCGGCGTATTCAACGACGAGATAGATCTTGGATTTTGTTGCCATGACCTCGTGGATTTTTAGCACGTTGGGATGGTTCTGGAGACGACGCATCGCTTCGATCTCCCGGATGATCCTCGGCTCCATACCGGAATCGATAGTCTTCTTCTTGTCGATGATTTTCATAGCTACGAGCTCGCCGGTGGAGATGGAACGAGCTACATGGACTTTAGCAAAGCTTCCGACTCCAAGACGACGACCGAGTTCGTATTTCCCGAGAAGAACGGTCCCTGATTGTTTCTCCGGTGACTTTCGGGATCGGGAAACCATTTTTTGTGGTGGTTGTTGCGGCGGAGTTGGTGGTGGCCGGAGTTTTTTAAAGAAGGGGACGGTTAAGAGTGTTGTGACTGTTGTTTTCTTTTTATAGGGGAAAGCAAAGTATACATCACTTTCACTTTACTTATTTCCGAAACTACCCTTTCCTACTTTTTTTTAATTTGTTTTAATATAAATAATTATAGTTTTTGGGAAAAAAAAGAAAAGATTTAAAAGGCTATTTAAATATAATTTGTGTATAGTATAGTATTATTTTGATGTGAAACGTTCAAACAAAAATTATAAAAAGAGGTGACAAGTAATATTTAAGAAGATATATGAGGTGTTTTATATTTTTTATATCTTTATGTAACATCATTAATAAATATTATATACTGTTTTTAGGTTTTTTTGACAGATGTAAACTTGTAATGAGTGAATGGTGATAAATTATCTTTTTGGTATTAATTTTAAGAAAATTTTGTAAATTAATTTCAGAAAAAGATAGATATCTATTTAAGCTAATAACAGCTATATCTTTCTCTTTTTGTTTTAATTTTATTTACATTTATGTATCTGGCAGTAATATATATCTATATAATGTCATTTATGTATATAGTGTAGATATTGGTGAAAATACACGTGAGGATGAGCTAATAGTTTTCACCCTTTTTTAAAAAAAGTATGATTAAAAACACAGCCAAAACTTTTCTACAAAGAACAACTTCAACTATTTTCAATAATACAAATGTTATATTTTTCTTGGATGGCTACTAAGAAAAACAAAACTATACTATTTGTGAGAAACAAAAGAATAATGGAAAATGTTAAAGATGTGTTTCATGTAAATATGAAAAATTTCAAGGATACTTTTGTAGTTAGTGAGATAGTTATAATATATACAAATTTGTTTGCTTACATTATTGTTTCATGTATATAATATATCAATGTTGTTGCCGACAGTGAACTATATAGAACATATAAACTAATGTAAGATGAGTAGTTCTTTGCATATATTTTATGTGCTAATCCGCACGTGAAGAAATTTTTCATAAAACTGCGAATTTATGTAATTATATAGTAGTCTGATAAGATGTAAAATTGTGTTCTTTCTACAATACAATAATTATGAAAAAACAGAATTACAAAAATAGATTATGTCATAAAATTTAAACCATAGTTTTGCTTAAAATTGTTCTATAGGTAAAGATTATTAGTTAAACATCAAACTAATACTAGCTCAAAGTCGAAAACTTATATTTAGTTGTAAACTTTAGAGTTTCAACTCTCTTTAGTTACGGCTTTGAGTGTTGTGTAGTCGATTATTGGGGATGATGTTTGAGGAACTGTGTTTCTGAAGCATATCCAAATGTGATTTAATTTCTTTTATTTTGGATAAAATGATTGTCTTCTTGTCCTCTACACAAAAGAAACTTATAATTTATAAGCAAATTGTACACTCATACTGATCTTCTTACCAATCATTTCATCGAGTTTTGGACAAATTACAACTAGATATGTAAGAATAAAAGCTGGTTTTAACGTTTAGAAGACTTTCAAAATTTGTTAGATTCCTCAAAGTTTCAAGAAATCTGCAAACGAATTTGCAAAAAGTTTGATTCCGAATATAAAAAAAGCAATGGTTCTCATAGTCATTTGTACATAGCTAGCTGTAATATTTCTTCCCATCTTTATCAGATTCTTTTAACTTTGGTATACACTGATAAACGTTATTTAGAGACCCAAACAAAACAAAGGATGTAACTTGTGCCTTATCATATACGTTAACTTTATAACACTATAAGCATTATTCCCAATTACCCAAGAATAATAATTCAAAACTTAGGAGAAAAAATATCTCATTGCCACTATTATAATCATGCATGCTTTATAACATATAAAAAATATCAAATGGTCCACATCAGTGGGACATAAACTCCTCAAGATACTCATCATCTAGTACATGCACTTCGCAGTCAAGTTAATTTCTACCTGAAATGTTTTTTTTTTTTTTTTTTTTTGATAAACCCTATCGGCTGATCCGGTTAGCCCCGATAGAAATCCAAAGGGCCACCACATTATTTATCCCGAGTTTGGAATGCTTTCCGACTAATGCCAGGGGGTAGTCAGGCCGCCTGCATTTCTGACTACCAGGTAAACCAATTGGGCCAAAGCCCAACTGACAGACTTCCCACACAACAATAATTTTTGTTTTCAGGGTGGATCGAACCTGGGTTAGTTCCTTGCAACCTTTCCCCAATTCTACCTGAAATGTTAAAAAACACTTCATACATAGTTATCAATTTTGTCTGCTTTTAGTCACTCAAATGATTAAGTCTTATTAAACTTGTGTACAAAGGTTACTTAAGTCATTTAGGATTCCAAAAAAGTCAAATCTAAACTGATCAAATTTTGGTGAAGGCTCTTTCTCCCCTCAACGCTCCTTCCTCGTGAGCAGCCTCCAAGGGCTCACACCAACTCACCAACATGACAGAAACTGTTTCAAGAAAATAACAACACCTACCGTCAAGATTGTTTGGTTTCTTGTCGAGAGTGTCGGATCAAAGGGCTCTCATTACGCCATGTCATTTGAATGTTAAAAAGACTCAATGTAACGGGAAAATTAAAAGTCGCTAGGCAAGGCAACGAAGAAGGCATGCAAATTGACGTTTTTATTATTAATTTTTTTTTTTTTTTGGGAGTGGCTTTTTGGATTTTTATTTGCTCCCACTAAGAGACTTTGGCATATTCGTCCTAACTACAACGCACTAATATAAGTCCATATTTAAAAGAACTATTTCAACATGGGAAAAGTTTTCTCATATGATATAGAAGTTATATGGAATCTTATGATGTTAGTCAAAAATATCTAAGAAATTGTATTATATTGATAGTGGAAATAGTAATTTTGTTTTGTGTCATATATATGCTTTTATGAGTGAGGGTGAGTCACGTTGGCTAAATTCATTCTAATGCAATTGGATGCAGAAGATTCACTCAACCAAGGTAAAATAGTGTATCAAAAAAAAAGATATTAGTGAGTACTTATGTAAAAGAATTGATGAATGTGAAATTTATTCGGCGAAATTGCGAAATAGTCTAAATCGTAAAATTTATATTTATGTCTTTAGTAATATATATCTTATCAAAGTTTTGTAATTTTTTAAAAGTGTGGTCGTTATATAAACCATCAAAATTTAAAATCTGATACATGTTTTATAATATTGGACCAGAAACACTTTATAATGAATTAGGCGGAGCATATGATTACTTGAGAGATAAAGGACCATTTTAAAATCTTTGTTCCCTATCAATGCAATTGTGGTTGTATCGTATGGTGTGTGTTGTCCTATCTCAAATCATGTAGGTGGAGAAGGTAAGGGCACCAATGAAAATGGTACGTTCAGCTCATACGTTATAACATATGATTTGTCAATATAATAACCAAATAATTTGTGATTATAATTTCATAAGACAAGTTAGGCGAAGCTGTTCATAGACATTTGGACATCTGGAGATGGTCACCCAGAAGTTGGGCTATTCATTTAATTGGTGGGACGTAATATATAATCATATGCCTTCATGGAATATTAATGAGAATTGACTATATGTTTTTTAAGATGTCACAAACACACAATTATTTCTTTATATACTAAAGACAATTAGATTCATCATACGTCTTATAATAGAGTATTAGTGAGACTTGACGATACACAATCAAACAATTATTCCTTCACATATATAAAACAAAGGTTAATAACATTACTATCATATTAATTAAAATCGATGGTTGGACTTAGATTCTCTTATTTAATTATGAAAGCTATACGTACATGGTCGTGGGAATGTTGCCTTCATAGTGATGGTATGCTCCATCACCATTGAAGAGTCACAGTTTAGTTATTATTTAACATTTTATCGATACTAACATCAAAATGAGACATAACGATATAATTAACTCGTCTTTCCGATCCGATCGACTCCTTTGGTTTGGTCTTTTGGTTTCTTGTACTGATAATAATATTCAGAGCGTCATTGCTGCTAAACCCTATATATTATTGTCTTTGTTAAACAATTCAGTTCTTCATCAAAGCAATAATTTGAGTATGGATTTAATAGCATAACGACCCAGTCTATTACTTTATTTTTTCAATGCTTAATTATTAATTTACTATTTTTTAGAAAAAAATTCATTATGATTTGATTATTACCATTTAAACTATAAATTATTCAGCCAAAAATGGAGTCAGATGGAGACTCCAAAATCATTGTTAAGACTCTAAGAGGGTGTTATTGGTTTGTGAGTTATATAGAGTTTTAATGACTTTAGATATTAAGTAGAATCTATTGTTATTCGATCAAGATTTTACAAAACTCTTTTAAAGTTTGGTGTTATTAGTTATTGATTTGTAAAGAGTCATTCAAAATCTTCATAAATATGGGGTTATTGGAGAAAAGAGAATTTTTTTTTGGATGATTTTTATGGAAAAATGAGTGGATTTTATATATATAATAGTTAAATAATTAAAAATTATTTTCAACAGTGGAAGTTATTAGTAAAAAAATTAATAACTAATTTTAGTAGATTATATTTTTATATGAAACAATGTTTGATAAAATATATGCATGTATCATTATTATAGTTTCCTAAATAAGGGGAATATGTAGTAACTGAGTTTTTAAAAATAATGATATTTAATATTAAATTATTAATGCTCTCGGAATTTAATATTTAATGGATAATATTTATACCCGAATTTTAATTCAAAATTTATGTATCCATTATTGTAATTCGGGTTATTTTTCGATTATGACCCGATCCATATAGCTTTTGTACTTCTCTTTTTGTAATATAGAGATTTAGTTAAAGTATAAGTTGATATATTTGATATATGAATCGAACATATGGTATAGTCAGGTACCAAAATAAAGTGTTCTGAAATCACGAGAGCCACACTTGTGTAATTAAGCAAAATAGGTTTTTTCATGCATGAACAATTGTACTATGTTGAATTCATACGTTGAATTATCGCATGTGTTACAACAAACATGTATTTTTAAATAATTGAATTTCAAACCTAAAGTTAAGTTTTTGTGTCTAATCATATAAAAACGTGATAAACATTTAACTAATGCTGATATGGAATCTTCTTGTGCAGGAGTCACGCTGACGTGGACTCCACGTGTGCAGAAATTCATGCTGATGTGGAATCTACGTGTACAAAAATATACAAATTGAAATAAAAATTATAGTAGAGATTTGATAAATTAATAAGATTATAATATTTAAAGAGAATTTGTAAATAAATTATAAAAATTTATTAATTTATTATATTGGTCCAAATTTTTATAGTGTTATTTTATAAGTGATTGTTGTAAATTTATTATATTGGCTCAACAATTTGATACTAGAAAAGTTTGATACATGAAATGTAAATTTAAGAATATATAACAATAAAATAGTCATATTTCACTAAAGTATTCACATATATATGTGTGTATATATATATATATTAATAAATTTATATTTTCAATAATTTATACTATTAATTTATATTGTTAATTATTGGGACCATATATTAACAAATGATTTTCAAAAAAACATTATTTTATTATTTTATTTAGATGTGCCTAAAATTACAAAGACCGAACTTGGGACCAAAAATGTATTAACTTATAGCGATTATTAATTTTCCACATGTGCTCATCTTGTTCATCCCTCCTCATAAATTCTTGGCTGATTAGATCGCATATACTACGTTTTATAAAGTTGTCATCCGGCTTGAATAGAGACAACTGGGAGCAGCGTTCCCGAACCAGATCTTCATCTTTGAGTATATTCTTCTTTTTCATAATCCGCACTAGGGTTGCTTCCACGGCATACTTTCGATCCAAACCCAGACCATTTTCCAAAACTGGATTCTTTCCCTTGCGCCGATGAGGTACCTCAATTCTCCTATTTATTAATTACACATTTCATCAAAAAATCACATTATTAAAAGGTAACAAATAAATAATTAACATGACATTAAACAGAAGTTTGAAACAAATACACAACCTTAAAATCTGGGCTATTTCTTTTCTTAACCCACTTTTTCCATGTCGACAAAGATTGGATTTTACTTGGTTTTAGCTTTAGGATTTGAGATCTTGCTGATCTTGGACATCTTCTTCTCCTTCAATAGCTAGAATCTCGGCGAACAACGCACTAGAGATCTGAAATAATGTTATATAGTAAGCTTATTGAAATAATGTGTTTTTCAAATACCATACTTCCATTATTTATTTACCTAATATTATTTCTAATATTTAATTAATCTATTTATAAGTATAATTATATTATTAATTTTTTAAAAAAATGTAAGCTTTTTCATATAAACTTGAAGTTTCATCAAGCATTTACAGAAATAAAAAGTGAGAAGGGAGGAAAATCATAAAAATTAAACAACTCTAAACCAAAGATCCACAGTAGGCTTTACAAGATATAAAAAAAATGAGAACCTTTTCTCATTTGAGCATTTTTCACTTAAAATTTCTACAAACAAAAAAATGAGAAGAACCGGAGGAGAATCATAAAGAAAACACTTTAAAAGAAGATAGAAACACAAATAGCTTTAACTTTACCGGAAAATAAAAATCCAAATATAAACGTCACCGTGTAATCGAGTATATGGGGTTTTGGATCATTTGACTTCTTTAACTTGTGTTACGAGAAACCAGTTCATTGGATATTCCTAGTATAGTAAGAAATATTAATAAGTCTTGATCTTTCCCACCATACACATGACTCGTCCATCACACAACCTCCATGAACAAAAAAGCTAGAGAGCAAAAGAGGAATGATTTTTGGAAACGTTGAAACTCTGCATCTTCCATTTTACTTACTATAGCACATTGTGCTTCTACACCACACATACACGGATGAGAGAGTATGATGGACTATGACAGAAAACAGCAAAAGCTATATCCATATATGGATAAATCAAGAACTCAAGCGTGTGGGGTTGGTAACGTTAGAAAAAAGAGAAAGAAGTGGTAAATGACAAAGTAGAGCATAGAGAGATCATCCATCATCATCTCTCTCGGCTATAAAAACAGATTCGGTGATCACAACTCATCACATCAAATACAAAACAACAACACAGAGATCAAGAGAAAGAGATAGATAGATTCATATAAGCTAAAAGAGTCAACAAAAAGAAAAAGAAACATGGGTGTCGTAGCATTCAACTAGATAGAGGAAGGAGATTACAAACTCACGCTTGTAATGAACAGAGACAATTGGGCAAACAGGTAAGTTTTTAAAAATTCTCTCATTCGATCGTTTCAAGAATAATGTTGATGATGACCTGATTTTTGTTAATGCATGGTGTGACAGGGCCATGCATAGGGCGTCTTGGAATGGCCAGATTTTGAGTGGTCGGTGCGAAGACAACGACGGAACGTGGTTTGCTATTTCCAAACGAGGCCGAATCGCTTTTCTCGTGAATACATCGATATTGCTAGACCGCGTTGATCCAGACGAAGGATCCGAGTTGTACCCTTTTGAATTCTTGAAGGTTTCTTTCGTTTTCTTGATTTTTTTCTTCTTTTTTTTGCATATTTTGCTTTTCTTTATGATTCAAACATATATTGGATATCTTATTGCAGAGCAATATGAGTCCACATGACTTTGCCAACCATGTGAAACAGCGTGAAGTAGATAGACATGAAGAACTAGATGATGAGAGCGATGGATGGTCCTATAGTCTTATTGTCGCAGACCTGATCTCCAATGCAATGGTTCATATCAGGAAACCTGTGGGATCTGAGCCGACTGTCATAATAGAAACCGTTCCGTTTGGTGTGCACTCAGTCTCTCCTTACGGTGGTCTCGATTCCAATGCATTTCCTAGGGTAAGTTATTAAAGAACAACTAATCATGTCTTGTAATGATCTAAGTCCATTTTTGTATTTTCTAAAATCAGAACCTCTGTTTTTGTTAATATGGTATTAATGCAGGATACACGCCTTAGAACCTTTTTTCGTGTGATGATTAATGATTTGGGAAACGATGAAGTACCACCACTTAGGGAGATTTCTGAGAATACTGAAGGAGGAAGAGACGCTGTGAATCTAGAAACTATGGATGCACATCCTTCTGAAGAAGTAAGAAAGATTTTGATCTACACGTTTCTTATCCTAACCATCTTATATGTAAATAACACCTAATCTCTTTCTTTTTGCGTTTTCGATTCAGCTTGGGATTCAACGATTTGGAACAACAAGTAAGACAACATTGGCGGTGAAACGCAATAACAAAGTCATCTTCAATGAAGGGCACAGGAACTACCATGGTGATTGGAACTGGCGCGAGTTGAATTTCAAGATTCAGTAGAAAGAAAGAGTTATACAAAGTAACATATTGCACAGCAAGAGCATCAAATTATTATCTAATCTATAGTTAAATAAATAATCTTGTTGATGTTGTGTTATAGATCTCTCTAATTAATTAAACACTGTCCACTTAGGGAAGCATATTTCCTTGATCGCACTATATTTTAAAGTCTAAGTGCATTACGCTTAAAACTAATTAATAAAATTGTTGGTATTCTAAAACTTTTCTTTGGCAAAGTTTTCACTTTATATTTTTCATCTAAAAAAAAGTAACAACGTCGTAACTAAAAATAAACAAGAACTTGAAATCAAGAAAAAGCATGAACAAGAACATGTAGATATTATGGAAAAATCCAGAACGTTACGTTATGGATACAACAAAGAACATATAGAAATTAAGAAAAAGCATGCACACTACCATTTACCATGACAATTATAACAAACCAAAAACAAAGCCAAGACATGAAGATATTGTTTTGTTTTGATACTATAAAGTCTTAACGGCTGATAATCAAAGAGGTTACTATTTTACACGAAATTATTACACTTTCATAAATTTTCATAATTAGTATCACACAAATCACCAACGTTTTAAACAAATTGAAAATTTAATATGGAAGTGATAAAGTTTTGCGTATGAATGCAATCTTCAACGTGTGTCGCAAGATATCTCAAATCTTCCACATTGTATACGCGTATAACCACTAGACGCAGATTACAAAAGCTAATCAAGACCAAATTCTAGTTGGATTTTGAGTCTTAAACTTGTGTGCCACTATAAATTAAACCAACTTTGTATATTTTTAGAATAGTACAAATATTTCTAAATTAATCCACATACACATGACTCTTCTTTACTCAATCAGCACTAGAGCCACTAGAATCGAACTACCACCAAAGCTAGCAAAGAACAAAGAACAGTTTGACTTGTGTACTACCAAAAAAAAACACTTGTTGTATATTTCTAAGTATAGTAAAAGATATAATTCTTGATCGTTCTACCATACACATGACACGTCTATCACTCATCATTCATCAATCTCCAACAGAATAAAGCTAGAGAGCAGAAGTGGAATAATGTTATAACTCTTGCATTCTACTTACAATAGCAAATGTATACTACTAGAAGTGGAATAATGTTGTAACTCTTGCATCATTCGACTAGTGTCTTACATACACAAGACTCATCGGTACTCAATCAACTAGATTCTTACTAGAATAGATTAGTGTTATACTCAATCATACAATTTCTGTTTGACATCGATCGGTACATAATTCACCAAAACCTCAAAAAAGGACTTCATATCATAAATGTATACGTTTCTAAAACTAATTTTCTAATATTTCATTAATTTTTTTAATGAATGACTGTTTTAATAATATAATTTCGATAAAAACAAGGGGAAAACTTTAAAACTATGTTTTATAGAAGCAAAATTGAAGAATTGAAGAAATGAAGAAAATGTTGCTAAAAGCAAAAATGACATGTTTTATAAAAATGTTGCTAAAAACAAAAATGGCAAAAGAGAAATACCGAAGCGAAACGACATACGTTTTTGTCGTTTCGAATCTATAAGTGCAGACAAAAGTCAACATTAGAATCAAACCAACAATATAAAAGTAAAAATTAAAATCAAAACCCTCAGATTAGAAGACAACGATGATGGTCTCTTCACTCAAGTCTCTCCTTTAGACTCGATTCTCTTCGAATGGAGAACGAAAACCGCATTGCTGCGTCGAGACTGATCAGAGTCTCTCCACACGAAGTCGAGAACCAGCTCGAGCTATCACTGCGTCAAGCGTATGAGTCTCTCGACCCAAAACTACGTCCACCGTTCTCCTTAGAAATCCCAGACCCACAAGAGTATCTCGAGCTCAATAAAGCAATCGCCTTTGGAGTTTTATGCGAACCCGATTCCTGTAAAACCCACATCAAGCATCTACATGCCCTCGTCACTGATGGGTATGCGCTTTTCACTAGTTTGCTTGTTGGAATCGTTGTTGAATTGTATGTTAACCTTGTTGATTCCGCTAAGATTCAGCTTGTTTGGGTAACGAAGGAGATGGTTGATGTTTCGAGTGTGGGGATTGAGGATTTGATTTCGTTGTTGTTGAGACGAATCGGAACTGGGGATTATAGTGATCAGAATGTTTGGCTTTGTTCTGAATTGGTGGGTTTGTTTCTTGAGAAATGGGATTGTTTGCTTGATGATTTGCCCTTGGTGTTGACTAGTGTTCTGTATTGTTTTCTTCGTTTATTAGCGGATCATTGTAGGGTTTTAGGTGTTGTGAAGCTTGATTATGTGAAGAGGTTGGAGATTAGATTCTGTGTCAAAATGTTTAGAGAGCAGCTGGATTTGTGTTTGAAGATTGGTAGGGATCTTGTCCGGTTGTTGCAAGATCTGTCTCATGTCTCTGAGTTCAGAGAGATATGGAACGATTTGGTCTCAAACCATTGCTCTGACATTTACAAGTTGAGGACTTCGAGTAGGTACTTTGTCCTCCGGATCACTCCTGAGATGGAAACAAAGTTAAGGTTTTTGCTTGGAAATGTGAAATTGGGAAGCCATAAGCGGCATCAGATATGGTTCTTGAAGAAGTTTCTTTTGGGTCCTGAGAAAGAAATGCTTTTGATTGATATAGTGAGATTCATTTGCTGTGGGATTCATCCAACTAACGAGATTATCAGATCAGAGATCATGCCAAGGTGGGCTGTTATAGGTTGGCTTTTGGAACTGTGTAGGCAAAATCAATACATCGAACGAAGTGTTAAGCTGGCTCTGTTTTACGATTGGCTCTTCTTTAACGAAAGTATCGATAATATTATGAATGTTGAACCTGCTGCTCTCTTGATGGTATGGTCGATACCGCAGTATCCACACATCACTCACTCCTTACTTGAATTCTTACTTCATATTGTGGAAACTTATGACATAGCCCGTCGGGATATAATTGTAAGAGGTGTGACATCAGTATTCAGAGAAATTGAGCGAAAAGGAGTTATTCGGTCGCTGGATATATTCCTTGCAAATCCTGCACTTGCACCAGATTTGAAGAAGAAGCTAGCAAATCTGTTCTCATGTCATCAGGAGAAGGTTACTGTGAATCTCCATCAACTTAGTGTGCCTTCTAAGCAAACGTGTCTTTCTTTAGATTCTAATTTAAAAGAATGCAGCACCAAAATCTGAAGTGAGGACTGTATCATGTCTGGAACTATGTTGATTCAAGTGGATTCTTGATTCCATGCGTTAATCTGATTCAATTGCTTCACTGTCGGTGGTATCAAGAAGTTGTTTTTTTCTATCCACTGCTCGCTTCTCTCTTCATCTCTTTGCCTAACGTCACCATTTTTCCTGGTAAATCTCATCAATTTTGGAATTCATAGGCTTGTTTGTGTTTAGCTGCTACTGTTCTTTGGTGAAGTTTTCACTCCAGTTTTGATCACTGTTACAAACCCATGTATTCGAGATTGTTTATGAAAAATTCTGGGAATTGAGAACATACACGTCATGGTGAATACGGTTTTGAAATTTCCAGTTAAGTAAATATAAGATTTTTAGCAAGTTAAGCCTCACTTTCTGATTACATAAGTTTCTAAGAACCATATCTTATGTAGTTGCAGCCGCAAGAAAATACCAATACCATCTCCATTTTAGGAAAATTTACCTCTTAGATTTCGCATAGATGGCGTCAAATACTCATAGAGGAGGTGTGGATGTCCCTTTACAGTGGCGCCGCTCTGTACAGATCCAGGTATAGTTCTATTGCCAGTTTCTCGTTTTGGCATTGATTTTGATTTCTTTCTTTCTAGGCTCTTATGGATAGATAGAGAAAACTTCGGATTTATGGGTCATGGTTTTGGTAAATTCTGCATATACGTTAACTATTTATTTTGGTATCTGTGACTGCAGAGAAGTGCTGCAGGTTCAGAAGAAATCCAGCTGAGGATTGATCCGATGCACTCTAACCTGGAAGATGACATTACAGGTCTGCAGTCTGCATGGCCAAGTCAGGCTGTTGAAAAATGTAAGAAACGCTCTAATTCCCAGTTCTATCTCTTTTTTTGAGTTGCCAATTTGCCATATATATTTTGATGCATTGTAAGCTTGTGCCTCTGAAGGATTATGGCACTTTACATCAGCAAGATGTATCTTCTTTACATTGTAGCCGAATCACTTATTAAATCTAGCATATCCAAATATGGGTTTTCTTTAAGTTGTTACAAATGGCTGTCTTCATTATTTAAGAAAACTATAGTTTCATTCCCAATGTATGTTTGATCAGTTTTAGCAAAAACCAATGAAATCTTGATAACTCCTCAGTTTTAGATTATGTATAGACTCTTAGTTGATAAACCAGAGTCTAATCTTTAACCAGTACCGGTTCAAGTAGAATTTTTGGTTCAGTAGAGAAATATCAGAGCTTAACCATGGTTCAAATTCGCAAATAAATAAGCATCGAGAGTCTTACTAGATCAAGCTTCAGTAGGAGATATTTACTACTGTATATGATGTGACTTAACAAGGCCCAATGGGCCTTTCAAAATAAACGAAATCTCCACGAACCAATTGGAAGTTATTAGTTTTACCCTCGTCTCCTCCAATCACGTCGTTTCAAAATCTCAGTTTCTCATTTCTCAGTGAAGAAGACGAAGCAAGAAGCTCTTGCTGAGGGGTTCAAGTTGATTCCTCTTCAATCGATTCTAATTTTCTCGGGAAAATCTGAAACACCATCCACGATTCGCATCGAGGTGAGTCTTTAATTTGATTTTGGTTCCTCTCTCTGCCACAAATTAGTTTCCCTTTCATCTTGCTAATTTTCACCATAATCTGGTTCGAATCAAATCCCTAGCATTAAGAATTTGCAATTTAGTACTGTTTCATAGCTTTCAAATTATGTTGATTCTTGATTCCTAAGCGTTAATTTGATTCAATTGCTCCACCTTCGATGCTCAACAGGTATTGAAAAGTTTGTGTTTTTGCTTCTTTGGTTTCACCAGCACCATTAGAGCAAGGAACAAGTATGCAAAGTCTAAGTCAAATTGGGCCGTCAGAGATTTTCCTTGTAGCTAGAAGAGATCAACCCATCACGAGGTTAGTTCTGACTTCTGAGTGTTGTTTGATACATTTCATTTTTTTTTATGAATTCTCTTCTTAATCTGTAATTAATTTTGCAGGGCACAGCTTTGGTTCACGGGAAGACTCTCTTTTAGACAAGAAACAAATGGTGAGTGAATCAAAGTGAAATCTACCTTCTGTTTCCAAAACTTTTAATAACAATGGTGTTGTTTCATAGGGGTTCGTTTAAAGAATAGAGTAGAGTTTAGTCCAAGACCTGTACCTCCAAATCTGATTGCAGCAGAGAAAGAAGAAGCTAAAGCTGTTTTAACTCTATTCTTCAAGAAGCAAGGTCTTAGCAACAGCATCTCTTCTCGGTTAATCAACAAATCTGATCAATTTATTGACCATTTAGTCTCCAAGCTTCACTCTATTCATAAAGCACGATACCTCGTAGGTTCGATCTTTCTTCTTTTGAAATTATATTGAATGAAAAGAGCTTTACCACGAACTTTAAAAGCTTGATTATTTGATTATTTAACAGGAAGAGAGCTTACTACACTTGAGATTCGAGATTCTCTCGTTCCTTATCTCGAACAACTTCATGAAGAACATGGTAATCTTCTCGCTGAGCTTGTTGTGAGCTTCCCAGATCCACCAGCTGAACCTAGACCAGTTTCTACGGCTCCAGTTCCGATCCTACCACCTCGTGGTGACACAGATTCTGCTGCAGACACTCGGAAACTCAGAGCAGTGTCTCGTGTCAGCGAACTTGATCCAGAAGGTGCATTGCGACCTCAGACCCTTTACCTTCTTGACCTTGGTTTAAACCTGGAGCAGATCAAAACGATCACTCGCAAGTTCGCTGCTTTTCCTTATTACAGCCTTGACGGAAAAATCAAACCAGTTGTAGAATTCCTTCTGGACCTTGGAATTCCTAAATCAGATATCCCCACAATCCTCTGCAAACGCCCACAGATCTGCGGAATCAGCCTAACGGACAACCTGAAACCAACAATGGCCTTCCTGGAGACACTTGGCATTGATAAGACTCAATGGGCAAAGATCATTTCCCGTTTCCCAGCAATCCTCACTTATAGCCGCCAGAAACTGACTTCAACTGTCGACTTCTTAACTCAAACCGGTCTCACAGAAGAACAGATCGGGAAAATCCTAACCCGATGTCCTAACATCATGAGTTACAGTGTCGAAGACAAGCTCCGTCCAACAATGGAGTACTTTAGATCGCTAAATGTCGATATCGCGGTTCTCCTTCATCGATGTCCCCAAACGTTTGGATTAAGCATAGAGTCGAACTTGAAGCCTGTGACAGAGTTCTTCCTCGAAAACGGTTATGGTTTAGATGAAATAGGGATCATGATATCAAGATATGGAGCTTTGTATACTTTCAGCTTGAAAGAGAACCTGATGCCGAAATGGGATTACTTTCAGACAATGGATTATCCAAACTCGGAGCTCGTGAAGTTCCCACAGTTTTTCGGGTACAGTTTACAAGAGAGGATCAAGCCGAGATACGAGCTGGTGAAGAGAAGCGGAGTGAGACTGCTGTTGAACCAGGTTTTGTCACTGTCGGGAGTAGAGTTCGAGAAAGTTGTCAAGAAGAAGATGATGAAACTTGTATCTGTTAACAACATTGCTGAACAAAAGTAGTAGTGATTTGTTGTAAATTTTTCTAGTTTAGCGTTAAAAAAGTTTCAAAAAACCTCACACATAATAAGTTTAAGATCAATCAGTGACCAGAACACTTTTGTTGGGCCTTAAAGAGGCTCGTATAATTTTCGTTTTCACGACTCCAATTTTTAAGAAATATCCAAATTGACCCAATTCTATCGCTAACCATTAATTTTAAGTCGGTTCATCGCTACGATTCCCAATTTCTCGATCGATCGATTGATAAACCCTAAAAGCTCATTATTGGATCTCTCTGGGCATTGTTGTTCGAAATTGATCTCTCTCTCGCGCTCTATCGGGAAAAATGTCGTCTGCAGGAACATCGAAAGGGGTTCTAGAGATCGTAAAGTTCGGTGTCTACGTCGCAGTTCCGATCGTTCTTATGTATACATTCGCCAACAACAGTACCAATATCAAGAAATTCATGGGCAATGTAATCATCTCTCTCTCTCTCTCTCATTTCCTAATTCACGAAATGATCATCACTGACTTCGAATTTTTTGGAACTGATGCTTGTGTTCTCTAATTGGCATAGATTTGATTCACTGTAGGAAACAGAGTTGTTGATAGGATCTCAGAAACATGTTTCATTTGCTTTGTGTATTAGGCTGTGATGCTTTCAGTTAGGGATTTTGATGCTTGATTTATAAAATTAGCTTTGTTATGTTGTTGTATGAACATAGATTGATGGGTTAAGCTGAATATTTGGGAATGGTATCTCTAAACTTGGTTAAAGCATGGTTGCTTAGATCACTGTAACACTGAGACATTCGAGATATGGTTCAATCATTGTCTCGAATTGTCGGTGATTCTTTCATCGTAGTTTTCATTTGCTTCATTCGAAGTTTCGATGGTAGTTTGGGAGTTTCCCGGGACTGACTAGTGACTCCATACAATAAACAGTCTTCATTTGTCCCAATTTGGCTAGTTTGTGAGTATCATCACCTGTGGGGTTTAGCTGAATAGTTAGGAAATGGTATTCCTACAACGAGTGTTGTTGTACTTGACTGTTATGAATCACTGATTGGATCTTTAAAGCATTCATGATCTGATTTGTTACCCTTTAATGTTCAATGGTTCTACATCACAAGTCCTTTGAATTCGTTCTGAATTATGCTAGTAGTCTGGTTCTTTCCGGGTCTTTACCAAAGAAGTCTGCAATGGGTGAGTTTGCAGCGCGATGAAGGCATACTCTAACTCTCCATATTTGGCTATTTGTTGTTGTGCAGCGTTCATATGTTGTCTATCCTGAAGAGGCACCTCGACCTCCTTCACCCGATGAGCTAAGAGAGATGGCACGAGAGCTTGCCCGTAAGAAGAACATCTCTTGAGTTGATGAGACGGGAAGGGCTTAACAGGAAGTTTGATGTTATCTGTAATAGTAAATTGCTCTACGTAGCAACTTGGTAATAAGGTTATGTTATGTTGTTGATTCCTGTAAGATCAAAAAGTGGAATGTATTAAGAAAAGCAATAATGAAGAAGAGGTGGCATTTGTTTTGTTCAAGAACCTTGGTTATTTATCGGGGTAACTTATATACACATCTATTGATAAATATTTTCTAATTGAATTACTGAAATAAGATATTCATAACAGTCTCAGTCTGAAAAGAATTTTTGAATAAAAGGTATGTTTAGTGAAAGTTGTGTAATACACTGATACTGTTTAACGTCACATTACCCTTTTATATTATTAAACATTGATGGCCTCGGAATTTCAAGAGAATAAATAAAAAATGATATTAAAGTTAATTATTAAAAAAGTTAATTTTTGAAAATAATTTTCTTCAAAATTCATAAAATTCATATTTATATAATAAACTTCTATTTTCACAATATCTTATGAAAATTTGCTAATAAGAAAATATAAATCTTAATTTAAAAAATGACGAAAAACAATCTCAATTTAAAAATTTGCCAACTGAGTTCAACACCATCTAGAATATCACATGAAAGGAGTACATTCCATTTCAATACCACAACAAATAAGTCTAATTGAACTAAAATCTTTAAAATAGGATATCATTCGGTTGTAGTGATGACATCAATAACCAACCCACAAAGTGGAAGAGGAAAACTTGTACATAAATTGATTAAGTTTAATTCATTTTATATAAATTTGGGACTCACAACCACAACTTTTAAGAACTTGCTTTTGGGTTTATCATCTACTATAGTATTTTTGCAACACTTTTTGCCAAAAATTACTATAGTGGACATTTATTGCTACTATGTCATTTAATTTATTGTTAAAACTAGTAATTTGTTACCTAAAATATTAACTAATATATTTAACTATTGATTCTATTTAATTGAAAATTATAATATAAAAATAATTCAGGAAATTTTTGTTCAAAATTAAAATTTGGTTCTCTTTACAGTTTTGTTTGGTTTTAGTTATTTTTTTTATGAATCATCACATAATACATGAAATTAATAAAATATATTTTCTGCATATATTGTGATTCAAGTTTTTTAAAACAGACATATATTTACTTATTAATATAAAAGTGTATGTTCAATGTCCCACATTGGCTAAAATATTTAGATAATGATTTAGAGTAATATTATATATAACATCAAAATGAATCTAAATTTGAATGAGCATGAAGCTTCACATAATAAGCATCCAAATTTAAAATTTATATATGATTACTTTGGTTTTTTAAACTTTTTAATCTTAATGCATATAGTAAACTTTAAACTTTTAAGAAGTTTTAATTTTTTTTTTTTGGTCACCAAGAAGTTTAAAATATTATAATTGATATATCTTACTTAAAATCTATAAATTACGAGTATTTAAATATATTAAAAGTTTAAAATAACATAGATGGCTTATATTGCATGACAGGTTGTATGATGAGAGGGGTTCGAATAAATATTACTACAAATTAAAATATCAGTCATCATATACTTAAACACGAATTTAAATCCTTATTTTACTATTTTTAACAACACCATTATAAAATACGCCGAATAAACTAATTTCGTTCAGTTTACTATATGCAATCTTAATATTTATTAAATAAACTTCAACAAAATCAGTAAAATCAGAAATAAATAAAAATTTAAAAGTAAATAAATAAAAGTTTCCTCCATGGTGTACATAAAATCTAGTTAACGGATAAATTTGGAGTCCGTAAGAACTTTTAAAAGTATGTTTTGGAAAATTTTGATATCTGGAAGATACTATTTTCTTACATTTGTGAAAAATATTCTTTTTATTTTCTCTTTATCTTTTTTGTTTTTTTTCAAAAATACGTAAACTACAAAATAACCTTACTTAAACTTAATAATAATTAACTAAAATATTTCCTATTTTAAATTTACTGGTCAATAATTCTAAAAAAATTATGATCTAAATAAATTTTATAAACAACAATGTAAAAGCAATCTATCGATCTTAAGTCATATGTTAATGTCATGGTGTAGATTTTGATGATTCATTTTCTTGAAAATGCATAAAATAGTTTACTTTTCAATCTTTTTGCAAAGAGAATTTTTGAATTGAATGAAAATTTTGACATGTTGAATTGAAAAAAGGTGAGTTAAACTTATATACATTGAAAAATCAAAAACGAAAAGTAAGGTATTCATTATTTGTTAATTAGTTCTCACACATGATGGATTTTGAAATGACAATATTGTTCATGTTGATGATTTAGCGTTGTAATCATGCCAACAAAATATTAATTAGATGACATATAATTATGCTAAATATGTGTCAATCCATTTTTAACTTACAGTGATATTATATAAGTTATCGTGAATAAACTCACATTTATCAGATATGTTTAACCTTATTTTGACAACCTACGTTCTGATATGGAATTATATGCATTAAAAATATTCATCGTCTCTATATTTACAAGTTGCATTATTTGTCCAGTTCAGGCTTTTTTATTTTACCAATGTATAGTTAAACTTATCATATAACTGCGTTTGATTTCCATTAACAAATTAGTTAGCTCTTTAGTTTTTATTCAAGTATAAGATGAAGATGTTACTAATGCTGGAATAGATGAGGCTGTTGAAATGAATTTTAATAATATTGTTATTAGTTGATTTTTTAACAAACAATATAAAATATTGTTATCGAGCTAACTTTTTTGTTATCCGGATATTGTCAACTGTTTTTATAAACACTTATATGATTTATCACACTTAGTTTTACATGTAGAAGCAACTTAGGCAAACTCCAAAAATAATACAGGAGTATAATAATCAGAAAAAACAAACAAATTAATGTAGATAACATTTACTTAATTAAAAAGTCTGTACATGAAGTAGTATTTCCCATTGACAAATGTGCTTGGAATGTTGGAGATTTTTTTTTTTTAATATACCTTGAATAGTTACCAGTAGTCTTTATAACATTTTTGATATAATATCTTGCTAAGTTTTAATATATAAAATCATAAACCATATTTCTGAAGATATAACTATAAGTATTATTATTTTGAACCAAGAAAGTAAACTAAACACACAAGTCTTGTATTGGCCTATAAATCTCACTATTTTGTTTTTTTACTTTCTTGGTTCTATCATTCTGATTCGAAATCACAATAAAAGTACTAGTTTATTTTGATTACCTTTACAAGAACAAAGAGGTAGTAATTAAATTACTAAAAAGAAGTATTAAAAAAATATTTGGACCACATAGGTCACCAAATATTCGGGGGTCTGATCTCTCAACGCATATAAATCTCTTTCTGTATTTGTTTTATGTCATCTATAAATAGAGATTCATTATTTCTCCATTCTCATATATTATGTAATCTAGGTTTTATTTATTGAAATCGATTTGTATACGCAAACCCATCTATAAATTATATCTTAAATGATTTAATACTGCCAATAAAAAAAATTACAAGGTTTGATAGAGATGACTTCTTTATATGTGTGTGTTATAGGTTTTCACAAAAATTCATCATAAAGAAAATAGTATTCATTATTTCATTACACATATTTCATAAACTGCTGATTTGTTAACCTTATTTTTCTTTTTTGTGGATTTAGATTTAAAAAAATTGAGAGGCATGTGAATAACAGATCATAAGCCCATGACGATCGATGCGCCACACACAACTAATCACATTATCTTAGACTCTTTTGTGTATATTCTGAATTGTTGTTTTTAGGGTCTAATGTTAGTAATGTTAGTAAGACTTTAGGCATGTCAATGTAGATAGATAGGTCTCTCTTTACCCATTGATAATATTTAGCCATTTAGGTTCTTCGTGTTGCAGGTTGGTCCCCAACACATTAACACTCTCTTTACGTAATCCCATCTCTGTCTTGCTGTAAATATTTATATATACGTTTTAAATATCAAAATATATTGAAAACTCTAAAATATATATAGTAACCCTAGTTTCTAATTACTCTAATTATATTTATATAATTTTTGGTTTATTTTTAGAAAATATTGTCGATTGTAAAGAAACTTGAGATCTATCAATGGTTAGGTAAACTGATCGGAGAATATGTGAGATGACGAAAGAGTAGATAGATAGTAGTATATTTCAACATTATGGTAAGCAATCTCCTAATGTATAACGATTAATATATACTATATAATATCTCCATTGTGTTGTGTATACTAATTAAAGATCTGTTACAATCTTATTTTCAAAACATTGCATGTGTGAAAAGAGCCAAAGGAGGTCCAATAAAATAACAACGCTACTGTCACTAATACACTGATCACTCACAAAGTCACAAGTTGTGCGTATATCTTTACATTCGTCTGACGAGTCTCACAAGTTACAATGCAAAAATGAAAAACTCAGATGTGATATAACGCAAACAGACAATGGAACGAGTATAAATGATGTAAAAATGGTTTAAGAGTCTCTAAGTAACATCTTAATGTAAATATCACCAAGCTACGTAACCAAATACACATCATTCTATTGTATATTTGTATCCACATCTTAATGTTGTATTCCTAAAAGTTTATAATAGCTATAGTTGTGTAACGTGTAATATATATGACAACAAGAAAGAATAATGGATTACAAATGCTCCCACAACAAATGATTATGATGCCATTACATTACTTGGTTTGGTTTTTTTTAACCGTTTTAAAAATCGTAACACATCTTTACGGGAAACAAAGTTAGGTCCATATAAAAAAGTTGGTCTCTCGACTTCGACTAAAAAATAAAGCAATCACAAGTTTTTTTGATTTTTTATTCAAGAAAAAATAAAAACTTCATCTTTCCATTTCAAAAGTCTAAAACAAAACGTTGCATTATTGTCTTTATCGAACAAACCAAACCACTATTTTCTATTGTAGTTATGGATTTAATTCTTTTTTAATAATAATATAAATTCAAGTTTTGGATCTACGGTCTACGTTATAATTACTCTATTTATGTATATGTAGCCAAATCCACCACAATATTTATTTCACTGACATAAGAAACTAATTTAATACGTTTTTACAGAAAAGAAAATAAAAATCTCTTTTTATAAAAGAAAAGTAAATATAAAAGAGAATATAACGCTGTTCAAGTGAACAGCTCTTACACTCCAAGATGAGATGCCACAGAAACACTGTTTCTTTCTTATCCAATGCTGCCGTCATCAGAAAATAAATAATTAAAAATTAAATCTGATTACTTACCACTTTAACTTTATTTTTACTGACTTTCCATAAATACGTTGTGGTAAATTTTGCTTATTTACAGTGATTTTATGAATTCATGAGAAAGTTAAAAGTTGTCATAACTCTTCTGTTCCTTTTGCGCCAACATATTTTTAAACAGCGTTGCACAGTACAAAATTTCAATTAAAAAGTAAAACAAATTTCAAGAAAGTAATAATAACCAAAAAAAACCATTAATTGCTACAAAACTTTTACCAAGTTAATACTCGTTTCCGGGTAATAAGTAATTAACGCGTCTCTGTTACTTTTACTGTTTAACATACCAAAACTAGTAAAAGTAATTATAACCCCCTTGAAATTTGGGTTTCAAAAAAAAAAAAAAATCTTCTACTGTTATATTTTTCTACTTTCTTTAAGAACTTTTATGTTTAATTCGAAAATAAGAAAATTCAAAAAATTTATCTTTTTTTTTTCTAAGGCTTTTCTTTGAACAGTAAAGCTAATCCCGTGACACCTTTTGCCTCTCTCTTCACCAGTACTGCCACGTCATCATCATCATCTCTACCAACAGAAGTAATAATCAAAGAAGAAGAAGATTTCAACGGCGGCGGCGACAAGAGTTTCTCCTCGAAAACCAGCAGCTCCGGTTCAGCCACGGCGGTGGCGTCAGAGTTAACCGGCGACGGATCCTCGCCGACGGAGGAGATTCGAGTGTAGGAAGAGAGCCATTTAGCTCTCATGTAATCAGCTTTTCTCCATGGCGGGAAATGCATACCTTTCTTCTTCAAGCTCTGTTTCGCCGCTTCGGAAACCATCGACACGATCTGACGGATCCGATCAGATTTCCCGACGAATATCAACGGTAGAGACTGAAGCAGCGCCTTGTAACCAATCGTCTGCCGTGCGATTTCGAACTCCGATCTAAAATCAACGTCGATTAAGAACCTTTCTCCGTTCACAATCACATCTATGAACTCATACTCACCTGTAAAACAAAAAACTCAATCAGATTGGGAAATTCAAAGGTAGAAGGAGAAGAAAAAACCGGTTAAGAGATTGTACCGGCCGGTATAGAGCGAGATTTATCTTTATCCCATTTCGATTTACAAATGGAAGAATCGTAACCAAGAGATGAGAGTTCATCAACAACGATCTTTCTCAATTCATCTTTACGTTTAACTGATTTGCTCTTCTCTGTAATCTTCATCGCTTCGTTTAACAGATTCTTTTCAACGACGCTCGCGCATGGAATCAAGCTCTGTATATATATAATAAACCAACTCAATTAGATTGTTGCAGAGATTATGAAAAAAATAGAGTTTTTGAGTTTTATATACACCTTGTAATGGTCATAAGCGTCGTTAAACGAATCAACAAAGCCATCGAAGAAATCGAATTCGTCATCGGAGCTATCGTTGTTCCCGTTGAAGCAATTACAACGATGATTATTACGTCCAGTTTTAGTTTGCTTATCGTTGTTTTCTTCCATGTAGCTTTGAACCATCTTCGCTAAGCTCTGCTCGAACTCTGTTCCATCGATTAGTGATTTTTCTGAGTTTGAGCTTCTCGTGAATGGTCGATCTAAGAGACGCTTGAGACGAGACTTTAGCACTGGTTTGCTTGATGATGATGATTCAGCTCGTGGTAAGTCTCTGTTCGCCGGAAAATCGTTGTTTATCGGCTGAATCTTCATCGGAAAATTCAAAGTTTCTCCAGATTTGAGATCTCCTCCAGAAAACAAAACTCCAAAAAGAAAAAATCGAAATCTTACTAAAAGCTCTGAGGATAGTAAAGTATTAGTAGAAGATATAAACTATACGATCTTCTTAAGTCAGTGGATCATCATTATCATAACAAAAACGAAGAAGAAAGAGAGAAAGAACAAAAAAATCTAAGAAGACGACTCAAAGTTTACTTAACGCCGACGATTTTCACGGAAAACATGACGGCGATAGTCGGAAACAGAGTTACTAAAAACGGTAACAGAGGGAAAAGTCACCGGAATATTCATGTTACCGGCGATTGATTAAGCTTTTGTTGAAATAAAAAGAGTGTTTTTTTTTTGTTCTTCTGGTTTTAGGAAAGTAATAAGATTGGTTGGTTTTATAGGCGCACCGCGCAGAGAGAGAGTGATGAAGCTGATGAGGCCAAAGAATAAAACTGCTGACTAGACGCAGTGCTGCCACGTCATATATTATTACGTGGTGTATAGATAAAGAAAAATTACAGTTTAAAATCCCTCTGTAGTGGGACGGTGTGGTTTGTTTTTAACTTTTTACTGGTATTAGTAGTAGTAATTGTGGTAGATTCTTTTTTTGGGAAGAGAAGAGATTAAAAAAAAAAAAAAAAAAAAAACTGACAGTGAAATTATTTGTAATGATGAATGACTATTTACTGTTTTGTCCTCTCTTTCTATAGCTGGCACATTTCCACTACTGTGGCGTGGAAGATCGGGCATATCTCACTACCAGTAATTATCGGGATTTATTTTAGCTTTTTTTTTTAATTTTTGACTTGATGTAATAATTAAAAATGTTTAATGATGTAAAAAAAGAAGTTTAAACTGAAAATTAGTTGTGATTATGTTAGTGCACCACGTAACTGGAATTTTACTCATCCGTAAGCTTTTTAGTTATTAGTAAAAATATCGAATGGGTTAATTTTAGTAAACCGATGGCAATCACCTAAACCGGGTCCTAAATATTTGACCGTTTGGTAAAAGTTAAAAAGGTTTAGGGAGACAAGGTAGGAAAAGAAGTGTAATGAGCTGAGGAGTTTCCAGGATAAGTAATATTGTCTTTGGAGTTACTTTATTTTGTGTTTTTGCTTCTGAATAAAATGTAATTAAATTTGTTGGTTGATACACAAGCATGGTTCATCGTACTTGTGACATGTATGATGTTGGTTGTTCACTACAACTACAAGAAAACAACTCCAAACTGATAGGAAAATCCGTGAAACGGTGGATACGGTGAAGCTTCACCAAGTAAAGGCAATGCATGTAGTACGGTTTGGTTTCAACTTTGGTTTTCTTTGTTTACTAAAACATAACTTCAGACGGATTTGCTTCAATGGGCCGAGAAGAATCCAGCTGCGGCTAATATATTTGCTCATAACTGGTCTTAAAGAACTGGAATCCTTAGCACGTACGCTGTATAGCCTAGATCTGGATGGATATATACACAATTTTTCTAGCATATCCTCAAAGTGACGTCAGTTATAACAACCAATGCAAATATTATCTATTATTACGGAAAATGGGCTTTTTCATACCTGGACTATTTAGGTATGTTAATTTCATATAGTTGACTTGTCATTGTGGTAGATCATACCTGGACTTATTGTAAATTTGAATTTAGTACCTCGAGATTTCATTTCGTGCTGAATAATACAAAAACGTGTTAAATATGTAACGCTGTTAACTCTCCGTCGACGTGGATTCTACGTCAGATGACACGTAAATCCATCGCTTGATGACGTGGCAAAACAACGTCGTTTTGGTTGCTTAGATGGTAATTAAAACTATGTCGACAGCAAGGCTCGAACCTCCAACCAATCACTTTTATACTGACTACATAACCGCTAGGCCATCACCACTTAATCGGTATAAATGAACAACACATTAATATATAGTGTTTCGTATTTCTATATAATTAATATATAGTGTTTCCTATTTCTTCTTCATTAATATTAATGATCATTCGACACTAGTGTTTCGTATTTTTATATAGTAATTCGTATATATAGTGAAAAACACTATATATGTTTCGTATTTCTATTTTGTATTTCTTCTTCATTAATATATAGTGTTGAATGATCATTAATATTAATGAAGAAGAAATATGAAACACTATATATTGTTTTAATATATAGAAATACGAAACACTATATATTAATGAAGAAGAAATACGAAATAGAAATACGAAACATATATAGTACGAAATACTATATAAAAATACGAAACACTAGTGTCGAATGATCATTAATATTAATGAAGAAGAAATAGGAAACACTATATATTAATTATATAGAAATACGAAACACTATATATATTAATGCGTTGTTCCCTTATACCGGTTAAGTGTTGATGGCCTAGTGGTTATGTAGTTAGAATATAAGTGATTGGTTGGAGGTTCAAGCCTTGCTGTCGACATATTTTTAATTACCATCTAAGCGACGGAGAGTTAACAGCGTTACACATTTAACATGTTTTTGTATTATTCAGCACGAAATGAAATCTCGATGTACTAAATTCAAATTTACAATAAGTTCAGGTATGATGTAGCACAATGATAAGTCAACTATATGAAATTAACATACCTAAATAGTCCAGGTATGAAAAAGCCCATTTTCCCTATTATTACATCAGTTGTTAGAGAAATGATAGGAATTATTTGCATCGACAGTTTTAAAATCATTTACTGAAGTGATGTAAAATGTTTTGGCATCAGTTATAAGTAATACAAAAAATAAAAATAAATGATACAAAATGCTCATTCTTTTTTGTAGTGGTAAAACCATCTTTTGTACTATATCTCTAATCACCAATTTGAATACGGCTCATGAAATGAGATCACTAAGGTATATATTTTTTTATGAGACATGCCACTTTCTAAGAGCTATAGAGATATTACTCTTCTCCTTCTTCTGGTTCCCAAACTAATCCCAAAACTGAATAAACCAGAACAAGAGAAATTACTCGGCTCCACTCATCAATCATGCATGATATATATCACTCTTCTCCTTCTTCTGGTTCGTCTAGTTTCACACTTCACAGTACCACATCTACTTCAATCTTCTTCTTCCTTCAGTTTTACTTCAATGTTTTATCATCAACCAACGCCAGTACATAAATCCACAATCGTGCTACTGTATACACCAATATAGTGGTAAATTGTAAGGTATGACAAATGATACTAATTTATATATTAAGAATATTGTCTCTCTCTATATATATATATTGTAAACAATGTAATATTTTTACGAAACACATTTAACAATTCTAATGTCACCCATTTAACAATTCTAATGGAAGTATTCTCCCATCTACTCTAGTCTCCAGAGTCTCCAGAACGCATTTTCAAACCATGCATTATATATATATATATATATATATATATTTCACAAATATATAACAATTCTAATGTCTCACGTTGGTATTAAATTACGAAATGATTCTAGCTAGATCTAAGTTGACGCTTCATATCCCCCATAGGCCCATGCATATACAGCTCCAGTTGTCTAAATATTTTTGCTGTAGTTACAACGACACAAAACCAATAAATATTCGTTACTTTCGCTATATACATGTAAATTCTATTAAAATTCAAAGCACGAAAAGTTTGTATCGTTTCAGATCTTTATTGGCCCAATACATATATAATTATTTGTGCTTAATTACGAACTTATAATGCAGATGACTGATGATAGGGTTGTCAATTCATCAACGTAGCATATACATGCATTGTCCCTGTTGTTCGAATACCAGATTCAATGCAAGTCTCTCCTATAATCTTTCTTAGCAATGATTTTTTTCGATTACGATCTTTTTTAGCAGTAGCTAGATATTCTTATTAATTGTGATATGTGACGTGTCAAACAATTAAATCCGATTTATAAAACACTATGTCACATTTATTCAACCAAAAGTATAGCATCACACCATTTGATTATTTCAATTTTCTACGTTCATCACTTCAGTCTGGATCTGTAACAAGTTTTAGTTCTAGTTTTAGACAAGGTCATCGTATATTCCTTTTAAAAAATGCAATGATTCTTAGTTCTTACGATATTTATTTAATATCACGCTTCGTGGATAAACTTTGATCATCTTGTGAGATTGTATGTAATTCATAATATCATACGTACTGGCTAAGTTAAGCTTCATATGTATAGCAGTTTTGTGATGCTTTCACTTGGACAGTCAAGTTTATGTGGAGGTAAGATGTCTTCTATACATGGACTGATGGACACTCACGAACATGAAAGATGTTCAAACTAAATTGGTCTGGTCGATTAAATTACATTAAATGTCTTCTATGGACACTCAAAGAATTTCAATAATCTTCAAAAATAGTGATAGCTGCAGTTCGACCAATGAAATTACATGATTGATACAAAATGCACTTTTCACCAATGTCCAAGCATAGGCTAGACCTTGACTAATCAAAATTTAATCAGGGAGTATATTACAAGTTACATTATTTTTTATTTTATCTAGTAATTAATATGAAACAAAAAATTATAATTTTACATATAAATAAATATAGATATATAATTAGGCGTATTTTTTTTCTAACAAAATCTCTGGAAGGTTTTTTAAAGTAGTACTAGTATATTGTATATGAGATTTAAATAGCATCGACTATTAATTATTATATATGCGATTGGGTCATGTGATCAGAATTAAATTCTTCAGTTCAATAGTGCTAGAAAACAAGAGATTTAAATATACTACAACCCTCTCAATTTAAAATAATATGATGATGATTCAATAAAAGGCTTGAAGGTATAGTTGAAGTTGAAAAGTACATGAGTCCAATGTACTACAAAAAGGTCTTGTCACAACTCTAGAAATAGACCAAAACCTCTCCCTCTCTCTCTCTCTCTCTCGTTCTCTCTTAACAAAACTCTCAGCAAACAATGGAAGAGACAGCACTGACAAAAGATCAGATCACTGAGTTCAAAGAAGCCTTTTGTCTCTTCGACAAAGACGGCGACGGTTCTGTCTCTCTTTCTCTAAATGGTCGTCACAGAATGAATATTAATTAAGAATATGATTTGTGTTGTGTGACATTTTTCACTTATCATCTTTTTTTCTTGGAATGCAATAGGCTGTATAACTGTGGAAGAGCTTGCAACTGTGATCCGTTCGTTGGATCAGAATCCCACAGAACAAGAACTTCAAGAAATCATCACTGAGATTGACTCTGATGGCAATGGCACCATTGAATTCGCTGAGTTTCTCAACCTCATTGCCAAGAAACTTCAGGTTCCTCTCTCTCATTCTTTCTTGATTTCTCCATGATTCCATGTATACATGCTTAAATGAACTGTATCGTTTTCAAATCCTTGTCATAATGGAGCTACTTCAAATTCATCATGCTTCTTGTGTTAATATTCTAAACAAAGACATTGTTTGATATTTTATACCAATTAGTTGTGTAATGTTAGTTTATTGTCGTGATGATCATGTGATGTTGTTATAGGAAAATGATGCTGAGGAAGAGCTGAAAGAAGCATTCAAAGTCTTTGACAAAGACCAAAATGGTTACATCTCTGCCAGCGAGGTCTGTGACTGTTTAAACCTTTATTAATTTATTTCTACTAGTTTGGTATATGTTAGATGTATAAGCTTTGACTTATTTAAAAAACTTATGCGGAAAAACAAAAAAGAATTTATAAAAACAAATCAGTTCGATGCACTCGAATAATGGATTGCGTTTTTATACAACGTTCTCCAATAATACCATGTACGTACGGTTCTAAAACTGTGTTTTTATTTTTCCTATAAATGATTAGAGTTATAATTATAGTGGCTACTAAATACTTCCTAAATTGAGTAAAAAATACGGTACATGAACCAATTTCATAAGTCTTCTGGATCTCTGCTTAAGTTGGTACATGCTCTATATATATATATATATACCTCTAAAAAGTGTCAAATCCAGGCTAAGCAACACAATAATGTGTGTATTTGTATAGAAACCACTTGATGTCAATTAATTCTGCATTATAACTATAATTAATGAGAAATCCAGCTAAAACACACTTTGAAATACTCTTTAGAATCAGTGACAAAAATCAGACAATAAGGCCAGAGACAATCTTCCAATTTAAAGAGAGATGCATATATATAGTTGTCTCATTTATGTTAATCTAAACATATTTGTTTAACAAGACATGGCTATTTGTTTATTTGATTTTATCTTTTCCAATCGTGAAGGCTCAGAGCTAGCTGGCATTGTAAGTCTTTCACAGAAGAATGAGGAGAAACAAAATAAAAACAATTAATAGAAAGTAGTTAATTAGACTTAGATAGATTAAAATGTGTTTATATATGATTCTACTGCTGGTGTATTTGGACAGGAGGCCACATGTTTTTTTTTTAACCTAGTTTAATTAAATAGCATACATCAATCAAAGTTATATTAATGGTGCAACATTTGAGATGTTAATTAATGTGAAAGGCTTTTTGTAATTTGCAGTTGAGTCATGTAATGATAAACTTAGGGGAAAAGCTAACAGATGAAGAAGTTGAACAAATGATAAAGGAGGCAGATTTGGATGGTGATGGCCAAGTCAATTATGATGAATTCGTCAAGATGATGATCAACATTGGCTGATTTTTAATTTTATTTTTCTCTTAATTAATTATATAAGCCAATGATCCTTGATTAATGACCTTATTAGTTTTTTTTTTCTTCATTTTTTTTTTGTCAAAGTGATTTACCCCTTTTGTTAGTTTGTTACTTTTTTTTTTTTTTTTTTTGGTTTTAAAACAATTTTTTGGTTTTAATTAGTTTATTACTCCTTCATGTTTCTACGTACATTCATTGGAGTTTTCAGATCCAGTTACTATACTATTTACTATTTTATTTTGGAAATCTAATTAGCAAGTTCAATGATTTGACTTAGTGGAGTTCACAAATCATTTATGCTTATTCTAGATAATAACAACCTTTTATCGTTTTATTGTTCTTCTATCTATCTTTGTGCCTTTAATTATTGTTTCAGTCCTATGAACTCCAAAGTAAGTTAAGAAAATATTGTCTTAATGAAACTTAAAAAATGAGCATATAAATAAATTATAATACCATTCTATGCAATAACGATCCACGAAATAAAAATTTAAAGATATTTTATATTCATCAACGATATAAAAATTTGCGGAAAATAGTATATATCTATACTATTAAAAGGGAAGCATTTTTTGTAAGTGTTGCCAAACAAGATTAAATCAAAATAATGAAATAAAATGTGATCTAAACCTATAGCCAAACAGAATTAATGACAGATTTTCAACTGAAAAAATATGCTTTAAAATAAATAAAAATCAAAAGTAATAACTAACCAATATTCATGGAAATCATAATAAATTTGTTACCATAAAATGTGGCCTATTAAATTCGAAATTTTTAAGATTATATAATGTTTTAAACGTTTATTTTACCTAATTTAAACTAATATATTTTAAAATATTTATATATTTTAATTTTTGAAACGTTTCAAATAAACTGATATTTATAGTATTTTAAATTGTGTATATGTAAACAGTTTAAATTAGGTAAATCAACGTTAATAATAAATTAGATCCAATAAATGTTAAAATACTATAAATATCTAAATTCTATAGAAGTTTAGGTATTATTAATATTTACTTTTTTAAAAGGTTTTAAAATAGATGATGATTATGTATAAGGGAAGCATTTTGTATAAGTCAATCATAGTTTATACAATCAAAAAAGTAATACAAAACCAATCTATTTTTAAGAAAACTACATAACCAAACCAATAGAAACAAATTTAGCTAAATTATAGCAAACAATTTTAGATAGAAACAATTTTAGAAAACTCAAAAAATTAAATGAACCTTCATCCACGAAATTTTGGGTTTAATAAATAATATAATCACTCTTAAAAATACATTCCTAATATATAGCAAACAATTTATTCATTAGTTTATATTCATCAAATCACGATTAATTTTGTTTCTTAAACCAAAAAATCATACCTAACAATTTCGAAATTCAAAACTATAATAAAAATTAATAACTAAATTTAAACAATTTATTAATTACTTCGAATCCCTAAATTATAGAAACAATTATATAAAATAAATAAACTCATAGAATTAAATGAACCAGCATCGATGGAAATTTTAGTGTTGTGCTAAAATATAGCAAACAATTTCTTCATTACTTCAAATCCCTTAATTATAGAAACAATTATATAAATAAATTAAACTCATAAAATTTAATTAGTAGATTAAAAATGAAAATTTTAAAATGTGATTAAATAATATAATCACTCTTAAAAATAAATTCCTAATATATAGCAAACAATTTATTCATTAGTTTAGATTCATATTAGTGTTATGCTAAAATATAGCAAACAATTTGTTCATTACTTCAAATCCCTTAATTATAGAAACAATTATATAAATAAATTAAAATCATTAAATTTTTAATAAGTCATCATCAACGAAAATTTTGCTAGAGATGATTAAATAATATAATCACTCATAAAAATACATTCCTAATATATAGCAAACAATTTATTCATTAGTTTTGATTCATCAAATCACGATTAATTTTGTTTCCTAAACCCAAAAATCATACCTAACAATTTCGAAATTCAAAACTATATCAAACATTAACAACTAAATATATGAAAATAAAAAATACCATGAATATTCTAAGTTCCATTAGTATTAATATAAATAAGAGAAGAATCCATCGATGGTGTATAATCCTCCCAAAAGATTATTAGCAATAAACACATTTTTTCTATCAAAAAAATGGCAGAAACTAATGACAACCAATGTGGTCTTCAAAAAAGTGTTCAAGAACTTTTAAATTATAATTCTCCATTTTTTCTTTTCATTTCCTGCAAGTATGACTTCTTACATTTTTTTCAATACCATATTCAAGACTTTCTCATTATAAACTTTGGTTTTCCAATTCAACAATTTCTATTATACTACTCCAGTTAACAAATGCAATCATTAATCCTTCAACTAAATGAAATAAAAAAAATTATAAAAAGCCAAATTTTTAAGAAAACTAAACCAGCAAACTATGTTATGAAAATACACCCGCACGTACGTGCGGGTCATCATCTAATAAAGACTATAAGAGGTGCTAATGTCTTTTATTTGAAGGTGTGAAGACAAATATTTTCTTCATGAATGTAAAAAGAGTCGAACTCCTTATCTCAAAGGAGAAGAGCTCATGGCAGGCTAAGCCACTACTAGTCTAGATGCTTGTCGACTTCTTGAACAACGATTAAATCAAGAAGTCATATATGTGTAACCATAAATTTATAGAGAGTAAATAAAAATACACCTCAAATAATAAAAATTAAAGGCAGTAAAACTTTTCCAAAACCCCTCAAACAGAAAAACCCATCTCAAGTATTACAGAAAACCCAATCCACACGTTCACTTGTTTCCTCTCCCAAGTTCTCAAAACAATAGTAAAAACAAAAAAAAACATTAAATCACAAAATATAATTAGTTCTTCAATTCATGGCGGTGGTGCAACAAAGGCATGTTCCTAAGATCGAAGATTTGTTCCGTTTTCTGACAATGCCTTTCATAGAACCCGACGAAGCTTTCTTGTCCTCCAAGTTATCTTCTGAGCCTTTGGTTTCTTTGAAGCTATCATCGCTGTGTTTGTTCAACAGTCCTGGAGACTTCTCCATGACTCCTGTTTTCATGGAATCACTTCTCTTCAGCATCACAGTTTTCTCTTCCACATCGATTGTTGTCTCGTATATCTCAGTTTTGTCCTGAAAGAGTAACGAAGTTTTCTCTATCGGTTCATCGGTTCTTTGTATCTCAAGTGTAGCTTCTTTATTGCTTTCAGTTATGGTTTCAATAGTTTCTTCTGCTTTGTTGCTTCCAACGCAAGGAACAAGTAGAGCCTCAGATATGTTAGCTTTCTCTAAACACATCTTGTTTCTTGAAGGAAACGTAACCTCTGAAACCAACTGCTGAGCCAACGTATCTCCAAGAACTCTACTATTGTGGCTCACCGGGAGCGATCTGCATCGAGACATGCGTTTCAAACTCACTTCTGTTTTTAAGTTAGTGCCCTTCTCTTCCTTATAAACTCCAAGACCGCTCTCTTGAATCATGTTTGATTCTTGCAAACCAGAGTTAGAGGTCTCCTTGTTGGCTTTCACCTCATTTGTAACTTCTTCATCATCAACAACAACGCGATTGTCTAGATTCAGAATATCTTGTGGCTTAATCTCAGGAAATTCATCCCCTCCTTTTCTTTGTTCCATACCAGTTTCTTGAACAAGGTTTACAACTTCCTTTGTAGAAACAACTTCCTCTGTAGAAACAACTTCTTCTAGAGAGTCATTCACCATATTTTCTTCATTTCCAACAGTCTCATCAATCAGACAGAGCTTCTCTTCTTTATCTGTCGTATTCAAATTTGTCACATCACTTTGAGTTCCAATCATACACAACTCTTGCACTTCTGTCTCTTCAAACACAGTTTTAACACCTGATGATGAATAGAGTCAGAATCGCACTAAAGCACATACAAATGCCTAAAGGTTATCTTTCAAATATGAAAAGAAGAGAGAAAAATTCTTAACATACCTTCTTCAACTGATGTCTGTTTCTGAAGCTTCTCACCATCTGCTTCGTTTACCGAGCTCTCCAAGCCACTTGAATGCATCTCTTTTTTGACTATTTTCACTTTCGGCTCATCCACCAAAACTTTGCTTTGTGGTTCTGTTTCTTTGACATCATCAGGCATGCTCTCTTTCTCTGCGTCTCCATCCTTTCCTTCGCCTGCAAGAAACAACTGATCAACCGTTATGGAAATAGAGTCCAACGGAGACTTCCCATTGCTTTCTAGCTTTGCGATCTCTTTCTTCTCATCTCCATATATTCTGTCACCTGCAACAGACAACTGATCTTGCATGGTCTTTGCGGAAACAGAGTCCAAAGGAGACACTCCGTTGGTCTCTACTTTTGGGTTACCTTCCTCTTCATCTCCATCTTTACCTTCATCTGCAAGAACCACTTGATCTTGTGTGCTCTCTACGGAAACAGAGGCCAGAAGCGACATTCCACTGATTTCTAGCTTTGAGCTCTCTTTCTCTTCATCTCCATATTTACCATCACCTGAAAGAAACACATGATCTTGCGCGGTCTCCACGGAAACAGAGCTCAACGGAGACATTCCATTGGATTCTAGCTTTGAGCTCTCTTTCTCTTTTTCTCCATCTTTACCTTCACCTGCAAGAAACACCTGATCTTGCTTGGTATCCACGGAAACAGAGCCCAATGAAGACATTTCATTGGATTCAAGCTTGGAGCTCTCTTCTTCTACAATCACACAGACAAATACTAAGCGAGAACAATAACAATACATAAAAGAAGAAGAAGATTCGTTGGTTTACCTGTTAAAATGGCAGTTGCGTTGTTGTTTCCCATATCATCTCCTTAGTTCAGCTTGCAATGAAATCAAGATCAAGATCTCTGAATAAGTCTGGGAAAATTGAAACAGAGAGCAGTAAGAGGGTTCCAGCAAGTAATGTGTGTGTCTGCTTGGTTAAAGCATGTTTGGTGTTTTATTGATTTTTGTTATAAATTAGTTAAATGCTAATTAGTTGGCGTCACCTTTGTTGCGACCCTACGAAACATTATGAGACCATATGATAGATATGTAAATGTTTCATACAAAACCGTAAGGACACATTCTATTTCTAAGTTGGAGGCACAATATCTAAAATTGGACCATTTTAAATTGAGAGGTCCAACCACTAAATTTAGTATTTTAGCCATAACTTTTAGTGTTTCAAGAACTCACCAAATTTCTTAGATAATAATTGTAAAAGAAAGAAAAATTGATTAGTACTATCTACTAAAATCTAGACTTGTATAAAACTTGCACAATCTAAGGCTCCATCTTTTCTATCTGGTTCTTCCTACATTTCCCCCCCCCCCCCCCAAGAAACCAATTGTATGGTTATGCTCCATGCATAAAACCAAACTCATCATTTTATATGATATAAAACCAATTAGTTTTTGAACAATTTTTTTTTAACGGCAAAAACTGGAAATCATATGATAATTTCAGTTATTACATTTCAAAATTTTAAATTTGGAATTGCCTTGATTACAAGTTTCTGACATTAAAATAATGGTATATTTGCAGAGAAATTTTTGACAACAACCTTATTTACAAGTCGGACATACTTCAAACCTGTTCTGCTGCTGTCATCTGTACTACGGTCTTTTCAGCGGTCTTTTCAAGAGTCTGTTTTGTTTCCTCATGTGTTTCTGCTAGCTCATGGGCTTTTTTTTTACCTTTTTTGCAACCATTTTAAAATGCATTCTTTATATGCTCACGGACTTTACCAAGTTCCACAATCGGGTTAGACACTATTTTTTAGATTCGAGATTTATTATGTCGTTATATTTCGAAACCTATAATTATTGATATTTTTCATAGTCAGATAAAATTGAATAGGATGAATTTTCCAGAGTAATATGAACAAGAGGTAAGAGTCTAAAGTTATATATATTTACGAGTTGTATGGCCCAACCATTATTTTCAACCATCTATATTAACATTTTTGAAGTATCTTTTGAAAAATAACCTTTTATTTTGTATTATTTGCATAATAATCCTTGCCATTTAAATAAATAACAAATTTTTAAGATAAAATTTGTAATTAAATTACACCAGAATCGCAAAATTAGAAACTAATATTTATTACATTTAACAAAATTTCCTAAAATGTCTCCCTAATAAATTGAATATCTCTCCAATATCTTTATATGATCTTATTTGTTTTAAAATTTACATTATTACATAAAAAATAAGTATAATAAAAATACAAAAAAAGCGCATATGTAGCAGTTTGAATTTTTGAAAACGGACGTATATTACTCAATCGATAAAAGAAAAAAATATATGTATAACATCTTACATCGGGTAGAAAATTTTAGACAATGGTTCGGAACCATTATAAATATAACTAATATGAAACTTAAAAATCCAAAATCTTGAATGGAAAATTACAACGAAATTTTTTTTTACTAAATTTTAGGGAATCCAAAATTTTAAAATCTTGATTGGTTAAAAATGAGTTTTTGGAAAAAAAAAACCAAAATCTCTCTCAAAATCTATAAAACATTCAAGATTTATATTTTACATAAATATAATTTAACAGGTTTGAGTTTTATGTTTTTCTTACGGGTTATCTTAACAAATATAACTTAAACATAATTTTTTTAGTCCCGTGAGTTACAAAAAATATACCGCGAGTTAAGTAATAAAAGTAACAATAAAAAAATACAGTTACACAATTTTTAACACTAAAAAGGTAATAAAATTAACAAATATAATTTATATATTTTAGTCAAAACAATCGTCCCGCGGTGTACCGCGAGTTAAAACCTAGTTTTTTGTCATTTTGGAAAACATAATTTTAGTTCATGATTTAATGTTTGGTGAGCTATATATGGACACTAATAGAGTTTTAAGAACATAGAAGGGACCAATGATGGTCTTATGGTGGTGGCCTGGTGGGTCAATATGTTCTAAACTTCTCTTTATCATTTTTTCTTAATTATTAAACTTATTTGAGCTACAATATAGCCGATAATCATTCAACTTTGGAAAGCATTCTCTAGGTTTCTTTTATATTTAATTAAAACATAAGATGTCTTTTTTTGCTGGAATTCCTCGAACCAATCCTTTTTGTAATACTTATTAGATGTATGAGAAAATAAATTTAAATTTATAAAACTTTTTTTTAGTAGGATAAAACTATAGTAGACATCATTTTAATTAGTTAATTAACATTCAATTATTGGTTAGCAATTAGAGTGAGTTCGGCTGTTTCATAATGTAATGATTACAACAATTTGGTTCTTTCTTTTATTATTTCTATCAAAACTTCATTTTTTTGTAACTTCAATAGTATATAATTAATTCGAAACCTATATATCACTGATTTAATCGTCCACTCTTATAGCATATATTTTTATATTTTATATTTAGTATTTTCATTTCACAAAAAAATATACAGGTGGACTAGATCAATATTCATAGAGAGTCAATCTATAAGTTTTAGATAAATGGAAAGTCGTTATTTAACTTAAACTGTGTTTTTTTTCTCTCCCTACATATGTAATCTCTAACTTTTTTTTTTTGTTTTTTTCAATGCTATTGAGCATTAAATGCATTCCTTCTTAAAATACAAAATGATTAATGTAATCGAACTCAGGTTGAGAAGGAGCAAGTGGGCTAGTGGTTCTCACCTCTGTTTGCCTTCTCACCAGATCCGGGTTCGAGCCCATTCCCTCTCAAAGATAGATTTATTATTTGTAATGATGTCAAAAAAAAAAAAAATCGAACTCAGGTTTTTATATCATTTTCTAAAGCTTAATTTTTAGGGTTTTAATATATTTTGATAATTAATAATAACAAATGACAATTAAAAAAAATTATTATGGAATCACTCTTGTTTAAGGTTATGAGAAAATAGTTTAATATAAAGAGAATGAGACCTTAGCCTAAAAAAAAAAGAGTTCAATTAGAAGCAACTACATAAAACATTTGATAATTAATAATTATAGACTGCGAAGTTTTATTTTGCGGAAACTGGAACTAATGAAGTATTAGTGTGGTTTTGTAATTCATGAAAGGAGGTGATTGCAAAAAATCGTTTATGCCTTTGAAAGATTTTGTATGAAGGGCACTGTGTAAATGTATTAAACACTTAGAAATGTTGATAAATAGTTTTTATCTCATTATGTTTGTAATGTAATAGGTTATTTAAATAATTGTTATGAACTCATTTTTACACTGATTTACAAATTAGAGTGATTTAAATGTGACGAGTCTAACTTGAATCAATCTCTTTTCGTACAATTATTATTGAGATTTGGATTATGAATATATTTTTGTTAACTAAATTTTTTTTTTTCTAATTCCTTCATATGCATTACTGATACTTATATATGTTAAATAAAAATTAAACAATTTTGTTTTTGAACTATTTTGGCTAAATAATTAAATCAGATTTTTTGGATTTGAGTTATTTCAAAGAATCACTTGAAAACTTTCTAAGACATTATTATAGGTAAATACAAACTCTTTACTAGCATACATTATATATCCCATCACCTTTTATAAGAACAGTAGCCAGGCTTACCTTATACAAATTGCAACGTATGGCCATAGTTGATTGTTTTATTCATTATCTAGCCATGCAAATTTCATATTTAGATTTACTTTTTTCTGGACACTTATAACCCTATGTTGGAGATTCAGAATATAGGTAATATAGGCAATGATTTCCCTTTCTTCTGCATTCAAGATTTTTCTAGATTTTGTTTATTTTGAAAAATTAAAAACAAAAATTGAAATGGGTCATTTATCTTTCGTAACGTCTCTTGGTTGCTATAATAAAATCATTACCGACTGGATTCAAGGTTTTCAGTTTATTTCTTTGGGAAGATATAAAGACGAACTCGATTTCATATCGTACTCGCATCCAGAGAATTTTTGCAGTGAAGGTATTTCTCAGTTGTTAATCAGAAGAGAGTGCTGGGTTTTGTGGTAATAGTTTTTTGATGACGATATGTTCCCATTCTTTGATTTTGCAGATGTGTGACCTAGATCTGCCGAGTCGACTAATTGCTTGCGGGGAAGAGGGAGAGGGTGAATGTGTACCACAAAATGAAGACCTTAAATCTAATATTTGATGCCTTAGATGAGGACGAGCGTGTGTAGCTAATACGCCCTTTGGACGGTTGCTTGAGTTTCTCTCCAAACCTGTTTGGTCTGCGTCGTTTGGGTCGATCTCCAAAGTTTCCCCATACGAATCGAAGAACAAGATCTCTCAAGTTGCGGCTGGGATTCGTGGATCTACGCTGCGTGGTGTGATCTCTTTTGGTGATATATGTGTGAACAAGCGTTTTGCGTTTGAGCTATCTGGTGGTAGCTAAACCATGTTCTTCATCGTTGATAACGACAATGAGAAAGATGAGTTGATTAATTCGATTAGAAGGTCAATTGTGCAGTACTCTTGGTCTGTGATTGATGTTGAGGTCTTTGATTACGATCACAGTCAGTGATTAACTCTCTGGCCTTCGGGTTTTCCACGAACATAACACTCTCTCTTGTCTTTATATTATGATGTTAATGTACCCTTTGATCTTCATGTATCTATGCTTCAAGTTTCACAAATCGATTCTCTCTTTCTTATGAAAAACCAAATCATAAATTGTAAACAAAATACGCCAAAAAATGATTTTAGTTAACATGTATCAACATAATTATCCATATTTATAAGGAGGACCGTATAATTTAAATTGATAACTCGTTATTTATATAGTTATCCATCTTTACAAGGTACAATATATAACTTATACGTTAAACATATTGATAACTCATTATTGTTATGGTTATCTATATCTTAAAATATAATACATAAATTAACAGATTGAAAACTATATTGGATCCATATATAGTACAGATAATATGTAAATTACCGCGATAACAGATTTTTTAATGTGTCTAAAAATAATTTATTGAATGCTATAAATCACGGATAAACAGTGTTACTGAATTCTATCAATCATGGCTGAATAGTGTTAGTATTAATTTAACAGATAATATGTAAATTATTGCGATAACAGATTATTAACATGCTTAAAAATAAGTAATCGAATGCTGATTAGGGTTATAGATTTTGGGAAAGATCTTCTATCGTATGTTATTGCTATACACTATAAGTTATTTGATAAATTCATAGTTATCTGGTTAAATTATTCATAGTTAATCATATGTTAGCGCTATATATTATACGTTATTTGATCAACTCATAATTATCTTGTTAAATTATTTATTATATGACTTATATCAACTAACTTATATATTAACATATTTGTATATATTTATATTACTGGATTATATAAAATATTAATTTTCATTTTTATAGCAATAAATACTATTATAACGGATAATATGTAAATTACCACGATAACAGATTATATATCATGATTAAAAAAGTTTTCGAATGCTATTAGTCACTGATGAACAGTGTTATTGAATTCGTGGAAATATATTTTAGTCTGGGTTTATAAAAGAGTGGTTAGAGTTTTATAAATAAAAATATTGTATTTCGATTTGAATTTATAAAATAGTGGTTAGTTAAAACATGTGTTTGGTTACATTGCATTTCTCATTAAAAGATGTCACGAGGGCCAATCATCTAATGATCATGGTCATATAGCTCGCCTCTTTTGCCTGATAATAAATACATAATCTTCTAATGCTTTTGTTATCTAATATCCACAATGTTATGTTTTTCTCTACATACTTTTTTAAAAGGTCAAATGTGTAGTTAGTGAATACCTTGTTGTATTTACTAACATTTTTTTAATTTATAAGATAAGACTTGTGACTTTAGTATACATACTAATTGTTATCTGGAGTTACTGACTAATCATAATGATATCGACTAAACATAATGATATCCAATATGTTTGAAGATATCGTCGACATCATTTAATGCTGGATGTGTGCGTATCTTTGCCAATATTCTCTGCCTGTGTCAGACAATTCCCCCAAATTTTCTTATGTCAGAGATGTTTATAAACAAACACTCATTGCTTCTTTTCCGCAGGGATAGGGCTATTTTTGTCAGATCATATCACTTATTGTTGCACATCTAATTTTCAATTTATTGGTTCTCAATTTTTAATTATTTGCTCAACTACTGCTACAAACCTAACAAACCCTATTTAACATAAAAATTTACAAACAATATATAGATATCTTAGTGCACAATTTGCACTTTAGTCTTCCTTTAGTCATTTATTTTCACAAAGGTAAGTATTAAGTAAGTCTTTTAAATTTCCACAACATAAATAGACCCATATTATTGTTAGAAAATAATAAATAAACTCTTACAAAAATATTTGCTCTAATTTAGCAAATGCTTCTGAATTTACAAGGGATAGAGATGATTTACCTTGATATATGTGTTTGATGAGAAATAAGTCAATAACCATTATACCAACCAATTTATATAACTCAATATAAACTTTAAATTTGCCGATGAAAATATGATAACGATTATTGCCTCTTCTTGGCAACAAAACACATTTTTGGAGGTGAACTTTGTCTTCATAGACCTGATTTTAGTATCTAAAAACCATGCTGTGAGATTGGTTATAACTTATAAGAATTAATTTCATGCTCTGAGATTGGTTCGGTTAACTTTGGTTAGATACATTTTCTTATCAATCCGGTTTGACCTCGATCCCAAAGTACCATTCGAATCTGAGCTTATCATGAAAGAGGGTCATAAGAAAGCAAAAATCAATATACCAATATCAAATCCCTAAATTAGACCAGCCTTTCGTGGAAAATGCCATTACACTTAAAAGATCAAGGTTTTCATTATTTGCACAACTTAAGAGAGTACTTACCACATATTAACTAATAAGACTGAGTTATATAGACATGAGAGATCGCCCAAAAACTCCCATCACATGAAAAAATTGAAGCAGATCACTCTTCAGAGATTGGTCCAAGGTAGTCCCCTTCCAAGCTAGCCAACGCCTGAAACTCTCTCTCTGCCTCCATCCACTTCGTTCCAAGCACAACAACCCTCACTGTAGCCTCAACCTGGATCCTAGACATCTTATCATTCATGAAGATCGGGTTCTCTCCTGGGATGTACTTGTAATCAGGCATCTTCATGTATGAGAGGTAAACATTCTCGATTGGACCACACCTCATGAAGACACCGTGCTTCAACACCTTGTGCACCACACCGTGAATTATCTCTCCTTTGAAGATCTTGAAAGTCATTCCGCTGAACATTACCGGGAACAGAACTTCACCAGTGTGCTCCCTGATTTTGCCTTCTCCAATCTTGTCCAGAGTTGTGACTGCCACGTAGTAGCCAAGCTCCTTGGTTGCTTTCTTGGAAGCAAATGCGTTTAGTAACTCTACTAGTATAGCTCTCTTTAGCATCAGCCCTTTGGCATCCATGTTTTCAGCTGGAATCATCACGTTCCATGGTAACTTGACTTTCAGAAACATTTTTCAACCTTTCAAAACCAAACCAAAACAATGTCAAAAAGGTACCAATCATCATTCATCCAGAGACTAGAAATAAAACTTTCCTATCATCACATTCTTCTCAAAGAAAAAGAACAGAGAAAGACTCTTGACAAAATCAGAACTGAATGATCACAAAGAAAGAAAAAGATACTAGACAGTAAGTTCTAGGTTCTTCTCTGAAACGAACATCTAGTTTTACAAATCATCACCAGCAACCTAAATGTTCAGTCTTTATTAAGAACCTAGATCACAATCTATACATGCACCACAGCAACGTACCAATTCCACCTATCTACAGTACTCAGAACACAAAATCAGAAACCAGTTCAACATTACACATCTACCAAGAAGAACAGAATGATTAAAAAATGTGAGCTTTTGACTGAAATTTTTTCAGTCAGGCATTTAAACAAACAGTGAGCAGGCATGTAAGTAACCACAAGGGAGAATCATCAAAAATTCCATCAAAAGTTAACAACTTTCCAAGAAACGAAAAGACCCACAAAAGCTTTGAGTTTGCATTTTACGATTTAAGTACTCAAGAGCATCATTTTCTTTCTACATATTTTCTCTAGCAACCTACAACGTATAAGACCCTATAGAGACTAAGAATGTCTGAGAAATTAGTCGAGAAAATCAGAAAAATAAAGAGCCCTTACCTTTTGTTTTAGATTCCCAAGGTTCACGAAACGAGAATCGGCTATAGAGAGTGAGACTGATTTTGGAGAATCAAAACTGAGCTAGGCGAGAGAGAGAGAAAGGAGACGAGATACTCCTAACTCGAAGACTTCAAAATTGGGCTGTAAAGGCCCATTATTATTGACCCATTAGTATGTAACTTCTTCATCTGAACGTAACGTTTGAAATCAGAAAAAATAAAAACTTCAAAAATCTTTTTGGTGTTTCCTTTTTTTTTTTTTTAATATAAAAATCACTTTGATGTATTTCTTTTTATTGTATGTTTAAATCATCTTATTTCCTTTAGAACTGAGAAAAAAATAAATTTTTATTTGGGGTTTCTCATATTTACTTTAGACTCAATCATAAATTATATTTTTTATATATACATATATATATAGTATATGAGAAATATGAAATAAATCCTAATACCATATATTTTATTGAAATCTAAAAATATTTAATTTAGTTAATATATATATGCAATTAAGCAATGAATATTAATGCATAATTTAATATTTTAATATATAAGAGTTCCTTTCATATATTATCTATGGAAATAATCATACTATTATGTTGGAGAAATAAATATTAGAAATGAGTAACTTTTGAATCCTAGTGAGAATCATCTCAATATGTTACTCTACATTACTTCTAAGGATTAGCTTTTAGACTCCATGGTGAAATCTTAGATGATAGATCTGTGCAATTTTTTTTGTTTCAAAATGGAAAATTATCTAATGTATCTTTTTAAAGATTTTAGAATCATGGCTTTTTTAACAAATGGTTTTTAAATTAGTCATATTATATGTAAATTGATCCTCAAAAAAGTGAAATAAAATCACACACACACACACACACATATATATATATATATATGTATATATATATATGTATGTATGTATGTATATAAAGTTTTTTTGTTTATGTTTCTTGTGAAGATTGTCTTCCCTCATTTCTTTACATAAATTCACGGAATTAATCATATTTTATGTAAACTGATTCACACAAAACAAAACAAAAAAATCACAAGTATAAGGATTTTTTATTTTATTTTTATGTGTAAACAAACCGAAAAAATTATTAATTACCAAGAAAACTAATTTTTTTTTTTTTTTTGTGGTGAAACCAAGAAGACTAGATTCAGCAGGATTTAAATGTTTTATTTATATAGTTTCAGCGGGACTTCGATTATTTTTAATTTTTATAGAAGAAATTGAATTTATTTCCTATTAATTTATCAGAACTTAATTGTACATTTAGGGTTTTTTAATCAAGTTACCTTAACCAATTCGCTTTGGATAAACAGAGAGCTTTCTCAGAAAATCAAGAAATCAGAATCCATAAAATCTTGAACAGTTAAGGTAACTTGATTTTAAAGTTTCAACAACGAAGCTTCCCTTCTTTTCTCTGTGTGTGAAGTGATTCTAAAGGTCTTTCTCAAGTTTTTAACGAACGATCATGGTTTGCTTTCTATTGTTTCTGTTTTATTGCAGTGATTTAGGTTTAGGTTTATTGCGATTCTTGCACAGGTTTTAAAAGTGGAAGATGGTGATGATGATGAAAGATACGAAATTTAACCCCAAGGTCCAGGCTATACTTGCAAACGTTCAACGGCTTGCCCTAAGATCGTTGCATGTACAAGTAACTCCTCTGCATCTCGGAGCTACTTTGATTGGTGACCGGACTAGTGTTTTCTATCGAGCAATCACGAGTGCAGGTGGATGCGATGTCTCGACTGAGTCAGCTGTGAAAGTGATCAACCAAGCCTTGAACAAGCTCCCAAAACAGGCTAGTCCTTTTCCTACAGTAGTACAAAACAGAGCCGTTCCCCAGAATCCAAGTCCAAGACAGACGACGACTCCCTTAGTAATTGGTGCCATGGCTCAAAATGCACTCGTTAACACAGTCCAGCAAAGAGTACAGAGTAACTTCACGTATCCTCAAAACAATCCAAGTCTTGTTGCGGTCTTAAGTCGTGCAAAAAACAAGGCCGGGGAGACTAATGTTGGAGAAGAGGATTTGGTGATTAGTCTTCTTGAAGATTCTCAAATCAGGGATTTGTTCAAAGAAGCTGGCTTTGTGCCAGAGAAGGTCACGTCTGAGGTGGAGAAGCTTCGTGGGGAGGTGATTCTTAAGGCTTTGAAGACTTATGGGACAGATTTGGTTGAGCAAGCAGGTAAGCTTGATCCTGTGATTGGTCGAGACAAGGAGATTAGAAGAGTTATTGGGATTCTCTCAAGAAGAACCAAGAACAACCCTGTGCTAATCGGTGAGCCAGGGGTTGGTAAGACTGCTGTGGTTGAAGGTTTGGCTCAGAGAATTTTGAAAGGAGACGTGCCTATCAATCTAACTGATGTAAGGCTCATTGCCTTGGACATAGGTGCATTGGTTGCTGGAACTGTACTCCGTGGACAATTCGAAGAAAGAATGAGGTCTATCTTGAAAGCAGTTGAGGACGCTCAAGGCAAAGTTGTGCTCTTTATCGATGAGATCCACATGGCTCTTGGTGCTGGCAAAGCAAGTGGTTCAACTGATGCTTCTAATTTGCTTAAGCCTATGTTAGCAAGAGGTCAGCTTCGTTGCATTGGAGCTACTACGCTTGAGGAATACCGAAAACATGTTGAGAAAGATGCTGCATTTGAGAGAAGGTTCCAGCAAGTCTTTGTAGCTGAGCCTAGTGTGCCTGATACTATTAGTATTCTTCGAGGGATTAAAGAAAAATATGAAGGACATCATGGTGTTCGTATCCAAGACAGAGCTCTTGTTGTTGCTGCTCAGTTGTCTGCGCGTTACATCAATGGTCTGTTGCGCAATCTTTTTGTTTACTATGTCGTTGTATGATGATTCTTTTATGGCTGATATGTGTTCTGTTATGTGCTTAGGTCGACAATTACCGGATAAGGCAATTGATTTGGTTGATGAGTCTTGTGCACATGTAAGAGTCCAGCTTGATAGTCAACCAGAAGAAATTGATAGCCTTGAAAGAAAAGGAATGCAACTAGAGATAGAGCTTCATGCTCTCGAAAAGGAGAACGACAAGGCTAGCGAAGCTCGTCTGGTCGAGGTGAATCACATTTTAAAACATGTTCTTCATCTATATGTATAAGTCTTCATTGTAACTGTTGTTTTGTTCTTCTGCAGGTGCGGAAGGAGCTTGATGACTTGAGGGACAAGCTTGAGCCTCTTACAATCAAATACAAAAACGAGAAAAGGATAATTAATGAAACTCGGAGGCTTAAACAGAAACGAGATGAGCTCATGATGTCTCTACAAGAAGCTGAGAGACAATATGACCTTCCTAAAGCTGCTGATCTAAGATATGGGGCAATTGAGGAAGTGGAATACCAAATAGCGAAATTAGAAGAGAGTGGTAAAGATAACGTGATGCTTACTGAAACTGTTGGGCCTGACAATATTGCTGAGGTAGTGAGCCGATGGACTGGGATTCCAGTGACTAGGCTAGACCAGAACGAGAAGAAGAGGCTGATCTTTCTTGCTGATAGGTTGCACGAGAGAGTTGTTGGACAAGATGAAGCCGTGAATGCTGTGGCTGCAGCAATTTTAAGGTCTAGGGTTGGACTAGGAAGGCCACAACAACCGTCTGGCTCCTTTCTCTTCCTCGGTCCAACTGGTGTTGGTAAAACTGAGCTGGCTAAGGCTCTTGCTGAGCAACTCTTTGATGATGAAAACCTAATCGTTAGGCTTGATATGTCGGAGTATAATGAAAAACACTCTGTTAATAAACTTATAGGGGCACCACCAGGGTACGTGTGCTTAAATCAAAGCCTCTTTTTATGTGTGTTTGTGATGAATGGTATAATGGAAACTCACATGATAGTACCTTTTCTTAATAGGTACATTGGTTATAACGAAGGTGGACAACTAACTGAACCCGTGAGGAGACGACCTTACTGTGTTGTACTATTTGATGAAGTTGAAAAGGCCAATGTTACCGTATTCAACACGCTACTTCAAGTGCTAGAAGACGGGAGATTAACTGATTCGCATGGCAGGACAGTGGATTTTAAAAACACAGTGATCATTATGACTTCTAACCTTGGAGCTCAGCACCTTATCTCAGGGCTTACAGGTGATATAACAATGCAAGTTGCTCGAGACAGCGCAATGAAAGAGGTGAAAAACCATTTCAGCCCTGAGCTGTTAAACAGATTGGATGAGATAGTGATGTTTCATCCTATGTCTCACGAGCATTTGAGAAAAATTGTTAGACTCCAAATGAAGAATGTTGCTAACCGGCTTGCTGAGAAAGGTGTATCTATGACTGTCACGGATGATGCATTAGACTACATTTTAGCAGCTAGTTACGACTCGGTAAATGTTCTTCTCACTTATTACTTAATAAGTATGTTGTCCTTGCTTAAGTATGTACTTAACATTGTATGATTGTTATTGTAGGTGTATGGTGCTAGACCCATAAGGAGATGGCTAGAGAGGAAAGTGATCACAGATATATCGGTGATGATTGTTCGAGAAGAAATCGATGAAGACTCCATTGTGTGCATTGATGTAAACGAGGCTAAAACTGATCTCCACTACCGAGTTGATAAGAATGTGGTTGTGAAGACAGAAAAAGATGTCACGATTCGTCCAAGGATCAAGAGGGAACGCAATGACGAAGGTCACATCTTGACTTCAACCAAAAAAAGAAAACCAAACAACACAAATGAAGTCATATTGTTAGATTGAAAAGGTTAGCTTTGATATTGTTTTAGGCTCTGGTTTTTATTTTACTTTTGATTGTAGTTTATTATCATGTACTATAATAACAAAACTCAACATTCAAATCTTACAAAAGACGGTTTGATCATTACGTTGAGATCTTAAAGAACTAAAAGTTTCATGTTATTACTTAACAAAAAATGGGTATAGACGGTCTTAAACCGGAATCTTTTCCGGTATTCTGGTACTTCCGGCTAGAGTCAAGCTGTCGTAGTAATCCACAAGCACTTTCCAGCCTCCAGGGCACATGAATCCATCTGGAGGGTTCTCCCTGTTCTTTGCCAATGCTCTCATCTATAAAAGCAAGTTAAGGTTATATCAGTAATTGAATACTCTATGTCCTTATTGGTTCTAAGAAGTTGGAGTACTCTACCTTAGTGCCAGAAATGAACAAGAAATCCTGAGCCCTTGAGGGATCAAAGAAAGCCATCTTTCCTTGTGTCTTATCGTAAGCAGCAACCTAAACCGATTGAAACCACGGAAAATCAGAACTCAAGAAGTCTAAACCTTTGAAGGAGAGACCTAGTTTGAGTATGCAGTTTTTTATATATACCCTGAAAGGAAGAATGTTGAGTCGTTCGAGTCCAGGAGCCATGCTTAGTACTTTCTTCCCATGATCGGCATCATACAGGTCACGTTTCTCCACAGGATGACCCATTCCAGCGGGATCTCTACCCACAATGTAGAAGTTAGCACCAGCATTGATCCTAGCCTTTGCGTGCCACTGCACTTCAGTTGGACCAGCATAGAGCATTGGAGATGGGAATATAGAAACCACAGTCGTCTCTGGATCAAGAACACCGTCCTCTAGCACCTAATTTAGTCAATGAGAAACCATTTTAGCATCTCCAATAAAGAACTAGGAATCAAACAACACAAAATAAGAGACATTGCTAGCTCCATTTTTACAACCTTCTCGTGCTGTTTCATCCGCCAGCTGAGAGGAACATCATCCGCTTTTGTAAACCCTCCCAATGGATGTAACAACAGAATTGGGTTCTTGTAACCCATCTCAAGTAGTCTCCTTCGAGTATCAGTCATGAGAAGAGCATGTCCGTTATGAACCGGATTCCTAAGCTGGAACGCAAAGACAGCATCAGCGCCACGTTTCTCTAGCTCTTTACGCAGTTCAAATGGCGAAAGCCTGAAACGGTCAAGCCCGTCATTGTACTTAACAGGTTCTAAAACCTCAAGATCACCACCAATAAGCCAGTTTCCAGCATTGGTTATCGCCTCTTCTACATAAGGCAAACCCGGCACAGTCGTCCCCCAAGTTCTCGCTATCCGTTCCTCTTTCGGATGTTTATAAATCTCAATACTGAATCAAACACACAACAAACATTACTATCCAAAGATCTTTCTCTACAAAGTTTGATTCCACAAATCAACAACATAACTCCCAAAAAAAATCCAAACTTTATTCCATCAAATGAAACTTACTCGTTGAGAATAGCGATTGGGTTATCATCAGAACCAACAAGAGCGACACGTTTCGATTCACCAATCAAAGCTTTTTGTTGATCATCAATAGCAAGAACAATAGGCACAGACATGTTAACAACGGATCCATCATCGAGATTGAGCAAATTGAAATGAAGGGTTTGGAGGAACTCAGATTCCCTCATAAACCCACGAAGCGGACTAGCCCAGCCTTCACTCAAAACGTGCATCCACTGCAAATCAATCGCCGTCAATCTCACTTTCGGCAAATCCGCCGCCTCGTGCTTCTTCTCTCGCCGTCGCGGCTCCGACACCACGAGATCCAAGAGCTTACCACCATCAGGATCGATTAGACCAGCTCGTACGCGTGACGTTCTTAGGCTGCGGTTTCGAGGATTCGAAGGGAATGAAACTGATGTGGTGATGGAATCGGATTTGTGAGGTTTGGTGAGTGGTTGAGAGATGAATGAGGTTGGTTTAGGGAAGACTGTAGACATTGAAGACACTGACGGAAAGAATCAAAAACAAAATGGCGAAGCTTTAAGCTTTTTCTCTAATGGAGGAGAATGAGAGAATCTTGAAGCAAAATAAAAAAAATTGAATTTTGAAGTGGAAGATGAAGTGTGTGAGAGTGTGAGTGGGCTTTTTATAGACCAAAGTGATTTATCGTTTAAGCCTTTTAATGTACCTAGACACTTGTTTTCTCTGTTTGTTTCTTTTTATTAAATAAATATAAACAATTTGGACCACTTTTATTATTAGTTTAAATATATGTATATATAAAAATATACTTTAAAATATTTTTAGAAATCAGAGATATTTAAGTATTAAAAAATTATAAAATTATAAACGGTAAATTTACTTTTGAAGTCTGAAAATTTGTAAATGTAGAGTTTTTTTAGAATTATGTATAATTATATTTTTAGTTTAGAATTTTCAATATTTTGGAGATACATACATTATGTTAGTTTAAATTGGTTTAAAATTGTTAATATCCATTTTTTTTAAATGATCAATTATATATTTTACATAATTACAACTATTCTTTTTTTTTTTAAGATTAGATTCTTATATATAGTCTTACGAACACTTGTTTACTTTTTATATTAACAATACGTCTTTAGTTATTATTAATGGCCATAAACTGATTTAGTATCATCCCTAATGTAACAATTAAATAATCCAAACAAACAAAAAAATACATTTAGAAAACATGTGAAACTCTAAAAAATTGAATGAAACACACTTATTTCTTTGGCAAAACAAAGCAATAGTGCAAGCAGAATAATGCAAGTGTGGTACCGATGCTATAATAGAATCGAACTTTATCCTAGAATATTACGTCAAGGTTCGGCGACCACTTTGCTCATGAGCCATGCATGACGACGTTATCCAATAGGCAAATAGCCAAATATAACCATATGAAATCACCAATATTCTATAATGTCGACTTGAACTGTAATAATTTCGTCGACTCATTACATTATGGAGCTTTATCACTTTTGAGTTTTGATCTTGACTTTTATCTTGACCTAAAGCGCCACCAGAAAGTTGAAGATTCTTTTGTTTCCTTTTTGGACGGCGAATTAATTTGTTATTTTTTTGTCCATCCTTTTTAGAGATAAAAAAAATATGATTAACACTTACACGACAATATTAAAATGTTTAATCTTGCTTTAAACAGACATAGAGAATGACACTGTTGACTCAGTTTCTTGGTGGTTGCTGAATGGCTCACATTCAACATGTGCAAATAAGAAAATGAGAGAGTCGACCTACCCTCATAATTCACTCATATAGCGACAAGCCGACTACTGAAATGTAGTATACATGGAATTATATACCAATCCATTTCAAAACAGAAGAGAACACATTGTTCAAAAATGTTTTATATATATGATACAATATCTACGGCTCCCATAATCAAATCAAACCACAATAACCATCTTTAGTGCTAGAAATTATACACAAGTGATCGAATCACTCATTTGTTCATCTCACTGCTCTAATATCGTAGTATTATGACTTAACCATCAGATATTCATCAGGAGACTATACCGTGTGATCATACACACGTTTATATACTCTAAAGAACAAGTGGATCGAGTTGACACCAAAAGTTTATATATGATGAGTTTAGCCTAATAAGTTAAAACTGGATAAAATCATTGATTTACATATCTTTACCAACCGACAAAAATCAAACACCAAACATGCCCAGTCCACACAGTAGCTTATATGCAAGGCCATGTCCTCACGTTGAATGTTACGGGACAACAAAGATTGTCAAAGCCCATTAGTAACTAAGCAAGAGCAGAATACTTTGTTTCTACAAGCTTTGTAAAACACATGACAAGAACAGAAGACTAAAAATGCTGTTGTGCTCCTCTTTCTTCTTTTCTCGTTCTTATTATCTTGTAAACGCGAAGTGGGCTTATGGGCTTCGGAACATATTGTTTGTTGGCCTTTCAAATGAAAGAATTGGAGTCTACGAGTGCCATGACTCACGTGAACACTTTTCGTCTTGAACTCAAAAGTCTCAATCTCAAACACATATAATTTACAAAAGATCACATATATTGATGTAATATAAGAGAACGTAGGATAATAGGGCACGTACGCAGCCGTGAAGGAAAACCACAGAAAGGATCAAAAGCAGTCAGCATGGGTCTGCCATAACGAAGTCAAGTAAGTTCCAATACAAAACTAAGGTCGACCGCGACTTCTCTCAACCAGAAACAAGGTCTCCCGACTTAGTGAAAACATTGTGAGCCGTTAGCTTTGTTTTTATATTATTTTGAGACAATCTTTGTTTTCTTACGTGTTTTTACCCAACCCACTTGGCCTTGGCCAATCAAAAAAAAAAAACAGGGAAGATGTGTCTCTCTGTGTGATGAAACAAGGCACGTCATCAGTTTACTTGCACTTTTTCAACTAGACGTGGCTTCTTTGGTTACTACGTGTTTTTTGTGTGTAGCGTTCAACTCAAATTCCTACTATTGTCCTAATTCTTTTTCATATTTTCAACTATTTCAAATGAAATAGTTTAATTTATTTTATTATAACTTAATTCGATTTCGTTTACAAATAAAAAAAGTGACCAATGATTTTAAGTTGGTTTAACAATAAAGATGGAAAAAAAATCTTATATAAGTTTGAAACATTTTCACTAAGGAATCTTTTTCTTCCCAAAAGAGTAAAAGTTTGCAATTTGATTTTTGTCATTTTTTATTTATTTATTTCTACTTATTACTCTACTACACACCACTAACGTAAAAATAAAATAAGTAATCTTAGGTTCCCATAAATGAATAGAGATAATGAAATACATTTAAAAAAATAAGAAAAATACAGGACCTATCATTCACAATTCACCTACTCTATAAATTAAGAGATGATCTTTGCAGTTACACCACAAACCAACTCCATCTCACTTATCAAGTCTTAGAGTTTATTCACTTCTCTTATTATTTCAATCTTATTCGATCTTCAGTATTTTCAAAAACCTTAAACATCAGAAATGGCAACGGCGTCGCTCAGCATGCAG